TGATTGCTGTGGCACAGATCGATAGAACTAGCTGAGAGACAGAGGAAACGAAGAACCCGCATGGTGTGGTGGTGAACGCGTTACTTCCCGGAAAAGACAATAGCGCGTTCGTTCCCCACCGCATACACCTGCGGTCCGAATTTTTGCAAATATCTCAGCATCATTGAAGTTAGATAAATGTTGGTTTGTGCCCAATCGATCAATACCCATAGCGTTCATTGAGCTACAATCGAATTAGAGGTCCTGTTGGAAATATTACAATCAGTTTTTTTATTTCGCACTTTAAAATTGATCAACCAACATGTCCCATCCTATACCTACCTATTAGAACACATAAGTTGGTATCACCTGATGATCTTGTGTTAACCAATCCGTCATCATTTAAGGTTAGACCCATCATCAGTTGTGTAGACTGGCCAACGGATAGAGTAACCTGGTTTTTAAGCCTGATACCCAGTTGCTTAACCACATTCCAGCTCACCTCGCAAACACCCAAATGTTCCTAGAACGTCTGCGTAACGCGTCTCCTAATAACGCGTACGTGATGGAGTCCTTCGACGTTACCGCGCTGTACACCAACGAATGTCGAATGACTCCGCAGTGCAAGCCATTTTCGAGCTTCTTGTTGAACATGAAGGAAGAATAAAAATGCATGGCTTGATCATCCAGCAGCTAATGGTTCTTTTAAAGAAGTGCCTAAACTGCTCGATTTTCAGTTGTTAATATAGAATTTATTAGAATACAATAGCTGACGTTTCGGCGGTTTCGCCTTCTTCAGAGCCTGGAAAGGTCAAATTGAGATGCGATCTACTTAGCCAAACACTTTCACATAACCCCAGCAGATAAAACTTGACAAATCGATTTGCATTCGCATAAGAAACAGCCTCATTCAAACACCTACCGTTTATTTGTTATAAGTATTTAAGTTAGTTGTTGGATAGCCGCAGCGCAGAGTAATACATGGACGAGGTCTGTACCTGGGTCAGATCACTGAATCAGCATGAGGTATGGGGCGAGGTCACACGTGAGGACAAGACACTCCTCCTTGCGGTTCATTTTTGATTTTTTGGCATTGATCCAAAACGCTTCAAGAGTTTTACGCGCCGATGTTTTCGATTCGTGGGTCAGGATAGTGACTCCTACCTCAAAATCTTCTCTGTTGTGTTCCTGCATCCTATGCGCGCCTAGTGGAATGTTTTGTTTTAACTTAGATCTACCGACCAGGTGTTCTTTTATGCGGACGCAGATAGGTCTACCCGTTTCGCCAACGAATTCGTCCCCGCACGCTTTACAGGAGATCAGATAGACTGTACCCGAACTCATGCAATCACCGTCTCTACCATTTGGGCAAATTATGCAGTTTTTTGTTGTACATAGACGGTCGTATAGGCGGTTGCGAACTAGCTGGCGTCTTGGAGTGTCCGGTGGTATTTCTATCACTCTTACGGAATTCTCTAGACCTAGTTCTCCAAAATAATGTTTCGGAAGTAAGTAAGATCTCCCTTTAAGCTACCCTTCATATCAAATGAAGTAAGTCACGCCATTAAAAAGTGCCTTTAAAAATTATGTAACGATTATTGACATCCCACCCAATACCCTACGCCGTTAGTTCAAAGCAGTCTCTATGGTCGTTTGTGCGACTCAGAAAACTGTATGATCTGTCCTAACGGGAGAGACGGGAATTGCATGAGTTTAGGTATAATATACTTGATCTCATGTAATGCATGCGGCGAGGAATATATCGGGGAAACGGGTAGACCACTTTGTGTCCGCATAAAAGAACATCTAGATGGGAAAGCTAAAATCCGTTTAAACACCCCTCTAGGCACGCATAGGGCACAAGATCACAACGGCGATGATTTTGAAGTGAATGTGCGGATCCCAGAGCAGGAATCAAAAACATCAACGCACAAAACTCTCGAGGCGTTTTGGATAAATTTCAAAAATCCAAAAATGAACCGGAAGGACGAATGCCTCACTATCAAGCGTGACCTGGCGCCCTATTTCAAAATGATATTTTGACCCCGGGGCGCGTCTTACTCGCGACTCCACGTGAACTACGTGTGGGCCAGTCCCGCACGTAACATCACAGTGAGTGGCCTTTCTTTCCAATATGGCGTCTATTTGAGAGTTTGATCTTCATCAATACTTTAACCTTTTTTCCACCGAATAATAAAAATATTCTAATATAAAATACGTCCTGGCTCTGAGGAAGGGGAAGTCGCCGAAACGTCAGCCATCGACCAACAACATCAAAAACAACGACAACGACAACGAAGACCTGGACAAACCTCGCGTCAGTCTAAGAAGATCAGTTTATAAGATCATATAAATAAATAAAATTGTGATTATACAACTATATTAAATAATGGCGGTAATATGACTGCCCAGAAGACGAGTTTTTTCCCATCAATCACTGTAGTTGTGTAAGCGCATTGCAGATTGACACTTATAACATTGTAGATTGTGTAGAAGAACATGGAGCATACATAAGAAAAGGAAATCGGAGAAATGTTTCCAATACCCAGAGAAAATTTGAGTTAGAAGACGGAAATCACGTCAAAGGGAGTGTAGCACCTGAAAACATTCCGTAGTGGCCGGTGTGACACCTATCGGTTTCACAGAGAGTGCAGCCAGAAATTAGGCATCGTTTCCTCTGTAAAAACGCGAAATTGAGCATCATCACAAGATGTGACTAATAGCTCAATAACTAACAGAAGCTTTCGCGATAGGTAGATTGCACACGGTGTAGAAGTGACGCAAACAATAAAGGTCCCTTTCTGAAATAAGAAACGTCTCAATCGCTCCATCTTTAAGAGGATCCAAATTTCAGAATTCGTCTCAGAGACGAGGCGAGGTTCTAGCGGTCTTTCGATGAAGTGATCCCACATCATGTCGTCTTTCCAGATAAGTCTGGTATCAGTTTGTCGATGCGGGAGGGCTAGAACGTTTCGTGGACCCTGTGCGCCGGATCGAATCGAGGACCCAGTGCGTATTGCAGTCCAACTGTAGTCACTGCATTACTCAAGCCTTACTGATGGTCAAAGCTGACTATTATTGTATACGAAAATTTGATGTGATCAGTAATTAGTGCAACTATAATAGTAAAGATGCATTGAGCAGAAACTGAGGCTATGGAGCTCAGAAACCACGTTGCCGCATTGCAAACGTTCTTCGTCATGTACGGGGAAATGATGGTCCAGAAGCTAAATTGAATAATTTGGACTGCGAAACTATGTTCACGCTGTGCTTACTAAACCTCTAACTAGCTGAAAATGAATTATTCGAAAATCTCAACAAAGTCCCTCGCAAAAAGAACATCATGCAATCAAAAAGCAATACGCTGGACATCTACGGCTTCTTCAGATATAATGCTCTGAAGTGTTATATGGGTGAGAAAATGCTTAAATTCCAACACGTTTGTGAAAAAGGAATTAGTTGAAATTTTTACTTCTTCACCAGGTAGATTTGAATTTTAAGGGGACTGCGTGTTCATTACTATTTGACATATGCTGAGACCTTCCAGGATAACCACAGATACTCACCAGTCTTCGCGATTGGGGTAAAGCTCGCTCCGGAAAAATACGGTAGCAATTTCTCCATCCAGGAAGGAACGAAGATTTGGTTGGCGGGTAGCGCTGTCGAACAAGGGACAATGCGTATTTTGTACTCTAACGACTCTCCTCTAACGACTGAACTCCTCACGCATCAATAGGTATAAAGCTTTTTTAAAAGATTTCCTTGTCAGATATCGATCGATTTCGCTTAATCGTCGCAAGAATTTTCTTCTAAAAAGTGGCTCGAGTTATCTGTGTTTATACTTTATGTGTGAAGACCTAAAATAAGAGCAAATATTTATTGTAGAAGGCATTCATACGCAAAATTATAGACAATAACAAGACGTCATACAAATTAATAATATTTTAGACATTTTCAGCAAAGCTGTTTGCCTTCTATGAAGTTTATTTGCTGTTTATTTTTGGTTACATTCTAAAAAATTTGTTTTTTAACCCATTTCTCTTTAAGAAGAGGAGTTCGCTCGCTTAGGTAGCGCGGTGACTGTCTTGGCCTTCTGCACAACAACATCAGGCAGAATCCTAGTGTTATCGTAGCAACTGCTGAAAGTTTTAAAGAATACAAAATTGCCGGGTATAATTTGAGATCATTTGATAAAATCCAACTTTCTTATAACTACAAAAAAGTTCACCCAATTAAACCAACTGCACATTAAGGACAGTGAGTTACGAACAGAATTTTGAATCTCATATGGGCTTCGAACTCGCGACTACACTTAACGAGTGTTCGCGTGTTATCCACCGCACCAATCGATGACTTTCCTTGTTTTGGTCACATCTCAGCACCCTTATGGTTGTATTTCACATCGTACCCTGCCTTAAAAAAAAAGTAGGCAGAAAATAAAACTTAGAAGAATTTCACATGAAGGATAAGGATAAAGTTCTCGGCATTGATCAATCGCTGAGGGATGCGCCATGCATTCAACTTCATTAAGCATCGTTTGAGCGTGATTGAATGCATATCTGGTCTTTACAATGACTCGCGGTGGCCTACCGATGTATCGAGCCAATGCTGCTATCTTCCCAGACAAGTCTGGTACCAATTTGCCCGACTGCTTCGACCAGTGCACTACGCGCGCCCAATTCCACATAACTGTTAGAAATTATGATTGTTTAGCATTTAAAAACTGTTCTATCAATAAATGTGATTAACGATAAGAAAATTACCACCACTGAAATATCTGGGAATATCTGTAGATAAAACAATTTAAAGAAAAACTTATTTTTTACCGCTAATGAAGAATATAAGCGTGAGGCGGTTTTCTTCTATGAATGCTCTTCGCTCCAGCTCGCTCATTGAAGGCAGATTAAACTTAAATATCGAGACCAGACATGATTAGGAGAGACCATAGCAAAGCAACAAATGAAGAAAGGAGAAAGAAAATGACTGATTATCAGTTAAATCTTATATGGGAAGCATAGAAATTAAGAAATACCAACCGTTCCATCATATTCGACTTCATTTTCTTGTGATAACAATAGAGACCGCTGACTCGCTTGAACAGAGCAATTCTCAGAATTCAAAGCAGTTTTGAGATAAGGACAGTCCTGAAGAAGTACCCTGATATTCATCCTGACGTTGGCCAAAACTTAAAAAGAAAGACGTGAAATAACCGTAAAAAATACTTCAGGTGGACAGGACCAGTGTTGTGGTGGGAACTTGGTCAAATCAACAGAACCGCCACGTGAAATCGGCTTGAACAAATCACTCCATAAAACTTTTGCAGCTAAGTCGTGAGCGATTTCGGAGAAATGGAAACAATCGAGAGCAACGTAAGCAAGATTCACCGATTTCTGAAAAACTCTGGGAATAAACGTTTTCTTAAAATAACGGAAATTTCTGGTCATACAGAATGTTTTTCATCGACTGAAAGTGATCTGGACGGAACAAACATAAGAAGTTACTTCTATTCTGGGAGTTATCCTGTCCCAATATGGTAAACCTCACCTCAATTCACCAGGGAAACAACTTCATGTGATGAGGAATAGGAAAGATCTTGGTATGAGTTTCTCAGGATAACAGGCAAAAAAATCTCTTGTCAAGCCGGCAGTATAGCAGTCGACTAGAAATACAGACTCGACGAATTTTTGTGATGACGGCTAATTCAAGCAAGACAAGTATGCAAGTATATAAGCTGAACTCCGATGATATTGGTGAAAGTGGAGAGTTCGAGATTCTTCAAATTTTAGGCGATGATTTACAATATTGCATCAATACCTAGCGCGAAGGTTTAAGGTCTCAGCTGTGACACACAGTTCAATTTCACCTTTTTAAAGAGTTATGTGCAATATTTTATTTTCAAAGATTTTTCATACAACCTGGAACCACATATTGTTCCCATGCCAGCACTTCCCGCATTTGCTTAGCTTCCTTCCATTTATCATCCATAAAAGTCTTCAGATCTGTGTATTGATTCGACTTTCACTCGAGCACTATAAATTTTTCATGAGTGTCGTTGAATCTGGGATAGTCGTGCTATGGTGCTCTCAGATATTCACAACAGGCAATTGTTGACTTTTCTGGATAGGAGAGATAGGAGAGAATTTATCCCAGATAAGCTTGCAACCAATTTCTCAACCCGGTCCAGTCCTCCTCGACTTGTTTGGCAAGAGTCGAGTTCGAACCAAGACAGGTATTGTATAACATAATAACATAACAACGAACAGACAACTGCACAACATCTTAAGTCATTCTACTTATCGCATCGCGTATTTATTTTTATTTATTTCACATGACTCGGCATTACAACTACTGTGCGTATCCCAGCGTTCTCGCGTTCAATTCGTTTGCATCGCATTTATCGTGCACAACAGTATTCGAACAGTTCGTGTGTTGTTTCAGCTGCTGCTTGAAGATTCGTCTCCTTTATGAACTTCGTAGAAACTTGGTCGAGTCATTTCTTGCAATCCTAGAGATAACCGGGATAATGCGTTCTACGTCCCATGAGCACTAGAAGGCGCTAGGGTGGGGCAGAACTAGTTCATTGCTTCTTAATCGACGGCATTTCTAACCACTGCTCCATCTCTATACCCAGCGAGAATTTGTACATAGAACATTAAGTTAACACAAGCATACACTTACTCCCAACTTTGGCACTTCAGCAATATTTAAAGCATGAGATATCCCAACTGCAAAACTGTTCGTTTGATATTCTTTTGATGAAAAGATCCCGAGTTGTTCTTCGAAGGATCGTTTAGACATTGCGATTTCCTCGCTTGATTGTTGAAAGCGGCATGGACAACTGGATCTGAATTTTTTCGATGAAATTGTAGTTAAGTAGCACTTGGAGCATATTTTACAAAAAAAGAGAAGGAACATACCGATGCACATCAGCACAAAATGGGTTATCGCTTTCGATTTCCTGAAGGGCATCGATATTCAGAGGCGGCAGGATATTTACATAAGATCGAGGTAGATTATCCCTCAAGTATAGCATTGCCTTCTGCATATTCTCAGCATATTGTCTAGCACCAAATTTTGTCTAAAAACACACTTAAAAAAGGCTTAGGGAAATTGTGAAAAAAAGAAAAAGTCTTAGTAGAGTAAAAAAGATCAAGGCTCGATATGCTGGAAAAGTGAGGAAACCGGTTGTGATAAATGGAAAAAGTAAAAGGAAGAAAGAGCTTCAAACGGTGAAAAACGGTTGACGTACTTGATTAAGACAAATTTTGCACAAATCATTTGTTCCAATAAAGACATTTATAAATTTCCAATCCTTGCTAAAATCCACTCTCGGATCAGATGCAATTCTATTGACTAGTTCATTTGCCTACAAAGATGTTTCAGACATTTGGTTCCTACCATTACGTTTACACAAAGTCTGCATTCTCACCTGCCTTAGCAAATCACTAGAATACGCGCCAGATTTAGCCACATTAAAGCCGACCGTACAGACATCGTCTGGGGATGACGCTCGTTTACTGTACCCGACAAGACGTGGTGAGAAATACGAAAAGATGTCTGAACGCATTAATAGTGAAGTCGAGACATCAAAGATTTCTACGTAATCGAAAGACGTTCTGAAGGTGAAGCGATGGCAATCAGATAATCGTGTATTTTATAACACGTCGCCCATAAGGGTAACAACTTTATATTTATATATCTATTTATATGACATTATATCAAATACTGTAAGAATCCCAGTATTTCATTCGGTTATTTAAATCGCATCCATCGTGCATCGATGCATTCCGATTTTCGTTGTGAGTTTGACTATCACTTATCTTTCTACTAAATTTGCTGAATGATTGAGTTAACCCTCCTTGGAACTCTTGGATAACTCTTACAGAGTTTTTAGGTCCTCACAATAGAGTTAACCGCCACACGGAGAAAGCTTTTTCACAGACAAGTATAGTACTAATTTGTTGGAGCTCAGAGAAATTTGAGGCTTGGTAAGCTCAGGAAGGAGTCGAACCAGAGAACGTGCGTATATGGCACTAAATCTTTGCCCACTACCCTATCCACTGTGGAAAACGACTATATTGCAGACTGACATTTTACTTCAAAGACATTTACAACATTTTTTTGAATACTACTGCATTCATTTGAATAAAATTACAAGGTCCTGCTAGACATAGCTGGTGCTAAGCAAAGCGCTTTTTTGATACTGCTGAGAAGTTACAGTAGAACACCTTCTGCAAATTACACTTATTCTACTAGACTGAATTAAAATACAGCATTATCAATTCTCATCTACAAAGAACAGACATTTCAACTGTATACAAAGACCTCAAAAATGATGAAAAGTGAGGAACACAGAGACATTAGCAAACATTAAAAATATATGAACGCTTACTCGCTAACGTGACTTGTTTTGTGAGATTTTTATGGTGTCCAGTTGCAAATGACAATTCTTGATAGTCCAGACGAAGGTCTTCGATATTCTTCGCTCCAGCAGCACGACCAGCCTTGTGTAGAAAAAATATATTTATATCTTTTTATTCATACATTCAATCCGTCGGTTATCTCTCTCCCTTTCGCGCGTAAGCTATTTTTCCCCCTTTCTCTCTCATCTTTCTCTCTCCATCTCTGTCTCTCCCTCTACGCATCCAGTAGCTCCATCTATCGCATCTAGTAGTTCCATCTATATCCATTATCCAAATGGGCAAGGAGTTGAGAAAACCAGCGAATTTGGAAAAGCCACTACGATATTACAAGCATAAGAGTGGGTTTAACGTTTACCAATCCTCTAAATATGCGCCACCCCATTCGCTTGATATAAAGACTTTCAAAGGCTGCTATTCTATGACCCAAAAAAAAATGGAGCGACTGGTTCGCAATGAGCGCGAAATCGAGCCAACGACTACTCTGTATGGGAGGTCATCTCTTATCACTGGGTTACACACTCATAGTCTGATCTATTTCGAAGCCCTGGCAAATGTAAATATCTTTGTGGTTTTATTGGTGAAAGGAGTTTCACGGCAAAAAAAATTGTTATATCTACTAAACATACTGTCAAAGAGTCTCCAATTGCACCGATGACGGAAATATGCCATGGTGAAAGACGATGAACATCTTCAACGACAGTCTCATTTTCTGGCAATATGCAATCAAAAGACGGCCAGCCAAATGGGTAATCTAAAAAAAATGAAATCAAATGACGTTCCTAAGCAAATCTATGGTTCAAGTCTTTTCTAACTGTTTTCGGTCGAAACGTCAATTAAATTTAATGTTGACATTTTTTTTACAATAAAGAAGAGAAGTCTTTAAGGCATCGAACAATTTCTCATGGGTTAGAATAGGCCTCTCGCCTGAAGGCCAAACTGAAGTCGAGCAAGAGTTTGGTGTTATTCAGGTCAGAAGAAAAACCAGTCTAGGTCAACAACTGATAGTGCGATGACAGATCCTTAGCCAAAAACGGAAATTACTCCTCCTTGAAAGCCTTCGAAGACCTGTGGTGAAGAACAGCGAATAATTTGAAATGACTATAATGATGCTAAGATGTGAGCAAAACACAGAGCTTCAGGTGAGCATCGGACTCGCGATTACACTTTCCGGAGCCAACGTGTTATCCACTGCACCATGAAGGCGTTGGTTTTGCCTTTCTTGTTCATCTCAGCATCATAATCGTTGAATTTTACATAGCACCTTGCCACGGTGGTCCCTCACATGAGGCATCTCGAGCCGATTAGTCGCGAGGCTACGTTGCACGTCAATATGTAGCAGATAGGTTAATCGAGGACCAAAAGTGACCGGATGTTTCTCTGAGACGCGAGTGGATCCAGGGGATGGATTTCCTGTTTCTGCTGGGCCGCTTTGGCATATACATTCTGTATTTACGAGGCGTATTCATGCACGCGTGTGTGGGTGCGTTCGAGTTTAAGCTGATTGTATTCTACGAGTCAATTCGGCAAAATCCCGCAATCAAGTGACAGCGAAGTATATCGGAGGCGGTTAGGAGTCGCCTCCAACAGATAAGCTCCATGTCCACTCTGGGAGAGCCTGGCATGCTACCCGTGAGTATACACAGCCTCAACGTTCAGAGCTCAGCAAGCTGTACGTGGGAATTAAAGTTCTAAACACAGTAAAAGAAGCGGGCCTCATTCCCCTGACGCCGAAAGGGCCCCAATTCGTCACCGTTGGGTAAGACGAGTACGAAGAGGCCGCTAAAATCTCAGGGCCAATGGGAAGCCGTCTGGGTCGCGAAAAACTACGGTGACGATCTGCACCTACAATGCACTTACACTTGCACCCTGATCCTCGGTAGAGGACTTGGTCATGTAAGCGAGAAAAATAGTGTACGTTGTCATCGGCCCGGCCGGGAGCAGATGCTACCACCTATCCAACGCCGTCTATGACACCGGAGAAGGACTGTTCCTCGGAGCATGCGACAGTCGAGGTGTTGGCGGCGTCGGCGTTCTGGTCAACACGAGTTTGTACATGAACATCGATTCATTTGAACAACTTACAACCCGGATCGGACGTTTACGATTAAAAAGATGCGGATCAATACCAACTTTGACAATCTTCGTCGTTTACGCACCGACATCAAACTATGACGAAGAAGTCGAAGCGTTCTATATGGACTTGGAGAAGTGAAACACGTGAAAGTTTGGAACGACGAAGACTTAGAAACGTTACCCGAATAAAAATTATCTATGGACTTCGTGAAGACTTATAAAACAAAGAACAAATATGGAATTTCGAACGACTTTATCAGCACTTTTAGGAAAAACATCTTTGGGTTATTAAGAGGAAATCTATCGATAATCGGCCGGAGTTTAGGTCTGACACATCAATCGATAGGGAGCGTTAAATCTTTAGGTTGCAAAGGATATCGTATGTACTGCATTGGAATGATGATGACAAATCATGGAAATCATTAAAAGAGCACACCTGCTAATAGAAAGCTGTTACGAAATCTTCGCTTTCTTGAAGATATCGTCATTTTCTTCAGAAACAGGAATTAAGCAAAAATACCGTTTGCGAGCCGAATGAAGGAGTAATCAGGATAAGAATCACAAGAACCAGTGGCGCGATGAAGGATGAGTCGACATGGACGGTTCCGTTAAAACATAAGACTTAACTATATCCAGAATGTTATACCTTTTTTATTTTCTGCCTACTATAATTTCGCGGCAGGGTACTAAGTGAAATACAACCACAACGTTGCTGAGATATTTGCAAAACTCTGGACCGCAGGTGTCTATGGTGGGGAACGAATGCGCTATTATCCTTTCCGGGGAGTAACGCGTTCACCACCACACCATGCGGATCCTTCGTTTCGCCTGTCTCTCAGCTATTTCTATCGATCTTTGTCACAGCAATCACCCGTCAGTGGCATTGATCTGGGGCGCCCAAATCGGCATAGAACCCAGTTAAACTGCGGCTGTAGTTGAAATCATAATGTTATACCTTTTTATTTTCTGCCTACTATAATTTCGCGGCAAGGTACTCGTTCCCCACCATAGACACCTGCGGTCCAGAGTTTTGCAAATATCTCAGCAACGTTGTGGTTATATCCAGAATGCCCAATGAACATGATGAAGGGCTTAGAAGGCGTGCTGTATTGAATATGGAAAGCAACATAAACCCTCTTTGACCTCGTCAGAAAGGGAACAAATTAACTGAACAATCGAGATGTCCCCAAAAGACTGGTGACCATGGTGCATTCTTTACAACAAGTGAAATAGTTTGATATTCAGAGCACCTAGAAATATGAGAAGTTGACAGACTTATATAAAAGGCAGCTCTTTCTTAACAAATACACGAATGCTTTGAACTCTGATTTAACTAATTTTTAGCACTGCATTGTAACATGAAATGTGCATAAATGAATATCAACTGCGAATTGGGAAACACCGTGTCCAACTGGACGGAACCCTGCCTCTATCGCTGCGCTGTTCGATAGAAACGATCCTCTCTGAAGAAATCGAATTTTCGCTGAAACAGCAAACTCTTGTCCTGTTGGCGAAAATATGGGTAATTCCCGAGAACGACTTTTTGTTAACTTCGGCATTGATTAAGTAATTTGCTGTGTTCTCGATGTGAAAACACCAGATTGTTACGTTACTCTTTATTCACGAAAAAAGCTAAAAAGATTTCTTCTTCTTCAGAGCCTGGAAAGACCAAATTGATTGCCATAAACTCTGTGAAACATCTCCATTACAAAAATTGAAGGAACGCAAAGCGAAGATTTCAAATATATTGAAAACAAAATAGCTTCTTTGGACACAGCGCTTTCTACGAGTCTTCCATCATTTCACGTGGAGACCAGCGCACAGAGACTACATGGAAGTGTTATGTGCCTCTCATATTAACAGGTTCTTGGAATTTATAAACAAGTAACTTAGTGATGGATTAAATGAATTTACAAATTCCAAGAACCCAAAGGTGAATCACAGGGAAGCCCTCGACATCACGTGTAATATCACGCGATATCTCAAACTGATATGAGCACCCTGCAACCACCGAGGTCGAAAATTTGAGACGAAGCTTGTGTGGGAGGATACCAGCACTGGCTCGATACATCGATAGGCCATCGCGAGTCACTGTAAAGGCCAGATATGCATTCAATCACCTCTAACGATGCTTAATGAATTCGAATCCGTGGCGCATCCCTCAGGGATTGACCAACGCGGAATGCTCTATCTTTTTTATCCTTTATCTCAAACTGATATTTTAATGTGAGAGAAGTGCATTACTCATCCATGTCAAATAATTGTGAACGGTTAGTTTCCACGTGAAATACTCAGAGGAAAACTCATAGAAAGACTGGAGTGTGCGAAGAAGCTGTTTTGTTTTCAGTGCGATTGAAATCTTGGTTGTTTCGTTTTTCTGTTTTGTTACTGAGATGACAATCAAATTGGCTTTTCCAGGCTCTGAAGAAGGCGGAATCGGCCGAAATGAGCTTTTTTTATTAATAAGAAACAAAATAACAAGCTCGTGTTTGTCATCAAGAATACAGTAAAAAATATGAGTGTTAAAAGGCCTGAATGGGAATGGTAGAGTCAGGCAGTTAAAGGAGCAACGAACACGATTCGACTCTGTGTGACAAGCTAGCAATGCTCTCCCTCACTTCGAAGTCTGCAAATTGATACCGAACCCGCCTGGGAAGATAAAAAGCACCGACTTGATACTTCGATAGATCCTTAGAAGTCATTGTGTAGGGCAAATCTGTATTCAGTCACAGCTAAGGCTCTATGAATGGAGTCGAAGTCATGCCTAGGTGATGCTGATCAAAGTCAAACTTTTTACCATTCATCTCTCATCATAGAGTATCTCCGCCATGGGTGAAAAACAACGGTCTCTCTGTGGGCAACGTTTCTTAGAACATGGAAAAGTAAGAAACAATAAAGATAATAAAGACGATCACCTGCGATATGATGTCGAATTTATTAAAGCACGAGAAACCTACCACGTGTGAATCTAACATATTGCTCCCATTTCTTATTCCAGATGTTAAAATCCGCTAAGACACGTTTGGAATCCATCAGATTGGTCAGATTAACATCATTTTCTGACGAATCATTGAAACCAAGTCCTAAAATGGACTTTCTGTGTAGAAATTGATGAAAATAAATACTGTAGTGTCATTAGAAAGGCTAAATACCTGCAGATGTAGTGAATATTAGTATAAAAGCAAGTAAGGCCTGTATCGAACACATAACAAAGTCATTACTGCGATAAGAAGAATGTTGATAACAAGAGGAAGAAAAGGTCGGACAAATAGGCATCTTTGGCACTATTCATAGAAAACCATAAGTTTTAAAACCGAAAGTAACTATTTTTGAAGAGACGACTTTCATGACTTTCATTTTTGGCATGGTGACTTAATATCTGAAGTAATTTACTTTTAGGTAGTCAGTCGTTCACCATGGCCGACTTCATAACGAAACGTGTAGTTTATTCATACATTCAAACACCACTCTACAATTTGAAGCACAGCAGTCTTTCTACTGTTGGAAACATGGAGTTTAGGATCCGAATAATCAATTAAGTTTGCTACTTTTCTCTTCTTTTGCCTAGCTTATTTGTTTCATGGAGTCATGAAGTAAAAGACAAATAATAAGGCATTCGGCAGTGACCAGAGCCCTTTAGGGATTCGCTATGCATTCGATTCCATTCATAGTACTGTAGGGGTGACTGAGCGCATATTTCGCCTTTACAGCGACTCTCGGCTGCCTATCGGTGTATCAAATCAGTGTCTTGATCCTCCCACACTTTGCTTGGTTCGAATTAGGTGGTTACAACGAGAAGAAGAGCTACATGCGGACGAGTTGTGGGAATATATCTATCGCATATAAAGACGACTGATAGCAAGATGTTTTGTGAAGGAATATCCAGCAAAGATTCAACCAGCAGTTTAACTGACGGGTGATTGCTGATGGCAAAGAGATCGATAGAACTAGCTGAGAGACAGGCAAGATGAAGGACCCGGATGGTGTGGTGGTGAAGTGCGCTGCTCCCCGGTAAGGACAACAGCGCGTGTTCGTTCCCACCGCATACACCTGCGGTCCGGAGTTTTGCAAATATCTCAGCATTACATAGCAGTTTAACTATTTGACTTTTATTCTGAAACAATGTTAACTTTTTTATTCACTGCCCATCACAATTTCTCACATCAGGAGATTATGTGTCATACAGCCACAATGATACTCTGGACTGCAGGTGTCCGCGGCGGGGAATGCACGCGCCATTGCTCTTTTCGGGTGCCAACGCGTACACCACAACACCGTGCGTGTCCTTCGCTTCGCCTGTCTCTCAGCTAGTCCTATCGATCGGTGCCATCAGCAATCACCCGTCAACCGAGTTGAACCAGGAAGCCCAAATCGGCAATGAACCCAGTTAAGCTGAGGCTGTAATCGAAATCGCAATGTTAACTTTTTAATTTATTGCCTATTAACATTTTTCACCTTAATTTCGGCTCCGGAGATCAATTCCGTTGGCGGGTGATTGCTGATGGTACTGATCGATAGAACCAGCTGACAGACAGGCAAAAACGAAGAACCCGCATGGTGTGGTGGTGAACGCATTAGCACCCGAAGAGAGTAATGGTGCGTTCCCCAGCGCAGACACTTGCTGTCCAAAGTTTTTCAAACAAATGGTCCACCATGACAACAACAAAACCCACTTTAATTAAATAAATGTGAAAAGGAATAGTTTAGTAGGAAACATCAGCCAAGCTGCACTTGTAAATCATTTACAAATTCTCTGTAAGAGCAGTAAAAAGTGTCTATCACATTCTTTCAAAAAAAGCGTCTAGTGAAGTCTTCCAACCTTTAGAGCTCTTAACTATTGGTTTCATTACTAATGAGTAAACGTCGACGTAATCTTTACGTGGATGCTTTCCACACTCATGAATACAACGAATAGACATCTGGGAAATTGCCATTTGGTTGGCATTTTAATAGCTGAACAGTTTTTTTTTCACCCGCAGTTTGCGATGGCCATAACACAGGCATGGCCAGGTTTGTATTCTCATGTAGTGTCCAGCCCTTTCCAAAGATTCGTTTAGGAATTCATCATCATTATGACATGCTGAATGAGGAGGCCCTAGAAGGAAATCTGCGCAACGTTTCCAGACATGAGAAAAAATTCATAATTTTGGCTATTGGGACCACTGCGAAAAGCTATTGCAAAATGAGATAAAACAGTTCGTTATTTCCAGTGCTATACACTGCAATACTTTTAAAAATAGTTCCAATGTAGACTAAATCTCGACACTAATCGATAAGCAATTACGTTCTTGATGAGCTGATTTCCAGAACCTGTACATCATTTCTTATCCTTTGTGATTTCTGCACTGGCAGATTCACTTCTTAAAGAAGTCTGAAGAAATACAAAAACGACTCTGAGAAGGGTGAATTTGTCGAAATTTTATACAAAGCTAAATAAATGTTGTGTGAACAGCTGAATGCAAACATCAAATGTACAGTAACAATCAAAAAGGCTTGAGTTCAATCCGGATTCCATTTGTGTTTTAGCCTCAAATACGTTCCTTTTCACACATTTTAGAGAACTGTTTATGTATGCTCATTTACTTAGTATACAAGAGAGTCACAGGCAGTGTAGTGAAATATCTCAATCACTACAATCGTGAATCCTCTCAAGCGTCATTCTGGGCTATCTGAATGTGAAAATCATGTTAATTGTCTAGTAACTCGCACCAATAGCAGTAAGCCACCGTTTACACATAAACACTTCTCAGTTAATTCCGCCTACAGGAGAATACTAATAGCTTCACACTTTTGATATGATACCCTTTCTTACCGTTCCTTGATATAAGGAGAGATCGCTTGGCTCTGCTGCTGCACCACCAAGCGTGGCAGTGTGCTCACAACTTTATATGAATACCAAGTCGTTGTAGTTGCCAGCGGCACTTTTGTGTGTTAGTTGCTGAGTAGAAAACCTCAAACTTCGGTAATTAAAGCGTTTATGTACATAATATTTACATGGTAACGAAAGTGAACTAGAAATGTACCTACAGTAAATTATAAGGGAGGTGGCTAAGTAGGTAGTAATCCAACTAAACAGAATACATTAACGATGATGTAGAACAATATACAGCAGGATTATAAGAACAGGAGAGATGATCAGGAATTACTGTTCGTGCAGCAATATTACCATTAGCACAACAGCGTTAGAATTTGCATTACCACAATGCAAGAACGTCTAAGCAATAGCAGATTGCTTCAGCAATGAAGAAGATTTTGCAGAATGGAGTACTTCGAGCAGCGTAGGCAATGGAGACAATTGCTATATTAGCAACACGTAGGATAGCTGAAAAATGACGATAACATTAATATAATGATAATACAAAAAAACAGGACCTTACTTCACGTTATGTTTGCCTAAACGTATGAATTGGTGCGGCAGTTGTGAATTTCGTGGAGTGCTCGTAACGAGTGGAAGTATTTCAGAAAGCTACTAGATCAACAACTAGTATTCGTTACATGAAAGATCGATGATGACCTTAACATGTTAATGAAGCAAGAGCCGGAGAATTCATTTAACAACATTACTTCCCAAGCAAATAGAAGAAGATTAAATGGAAAGGTAGAATGTTGATGAAAAGGGTAATGGCGAACTTCACGCGTCGTCAGGAGGCAAATGGCCGTGCTAAGAGACGTGGCTAGATCCGAGCGAGTGGCGCGGGTCGTACGCTCACGGTACGAGTCGGAAGGTCCAACCCTTAACCAACGAATCGTATCTGGTGGCATGCCTGGTAATGTGTCTGACGGTTATAGTTGCCGTATCTACTGGCGTGCCAAATGGTTAGGATGGGATCTGAAATATAAGATACGCATCCGGGCATTGTAGCAAATTAGATTCGACTTGTCGACACCAATGTAATTGTCATTTTGGGTGATCATCTTAGGTGATCTTGTGGAAGAAGCCTCGCTGTATATTACGATAAACCCAAGAACCCTTCACCCGTTACGTCGATATAAGAACCATGGAGTGGACCACTCGCTTAGATAAAGATGATGAACATTTAGCTACGATACGCTGAATGTCTAAAGTCGGCGGATTTACTGAAATCGTGATCGAAACAAAGAGTAAGTGAACTCAAAATAAAACAAGAGTGAATCACTTTCAGAAGATTGTCCTCAGAAGTTTTGAACGATGGCATTAACATCTACTTTCCATTTATTTTCCATCATGATCGTGTTCATTCCATGAAATGTTTACGGATAAATATGCATTCAATATTCACAGACGTCTGTCCATGTAGCCTATAGCGGATGCTCTCCTTCCCCTTGAAAATGCAATAATAGGCTGCAATTTCTTAACAAATTTAACTGTAATATTATGCCTGTGGCTTACTGATTAAAGATGCACTGTAACGCAAGTGGTTTTTGGTTTGGCGCCTCGTCCTGAGTCAACCAAGTCCACCACTCTTCCGGGATAACGAAATTAGAACCACGCTCGTGTGGGAAGATGGGAACATTTGTTTAATGCGTCAATGGGTCTGCGTAAGTCAATGTATAGCGTAAAGGTCCAATCATTTGACTCTAAGCTGGATGCATGACATTTCATATTCAATCCGAATGGTTTATCGTTTTATATCATCAGCCTATTTAAACTTAACGAAAAAAAAGGAAAACAACAAGATGACCAGTCGAGTATTGGTTAATAGATTCGCTACGATGTCACCTCTTAAGGAGTCAAAGGATAGGACACATTGTGGCCTGTATGATCTCTACCCACGGATTTCCCTCACTGAGCGAATAATACCTGGTTAGTCGCGAACGTACGCGCTGCGTCCCGACCAGGTGGGTAGGTGAGTTAAACGCACACTGAAAGCATCTTTGTACTTCCACGTAAGTCTCACATGGATAAAAGGGATGGACTTACTGCGTCTGCTGCGCCGGCCGACATGACACATACGTTTTCCATTTACGTGGATTCATTTACTTATGCGCATGGGTGTGTTTTTGTCTATGCAGATTGCATTCCACAGGTCACCTACGCCGAAAGCCTACCATCGATTAATTGGAAATTACATGCTAGGTAGTGAGGAGTCGCCTCCAGCGAACAACCTCCTCGTATACTCAGAGAAAGATTGGTAACCTACCCGTGAGTATGTTCAGCACCCACGTCAAGCGGTCAGCAAGTTAAGCGTGGGTATCGAAAGCTAAACACAATAATATAAACGCCTCACTCCTCAAACTCCGAAGGAGCTGGTAGCATTGGAAAGGGCGAGCGCAGAAAAGCTGCCTAAATCGCAATCAGCTAAGGTGACGGACGATCTATTCCTAAAATGTACGCACACTTCTATCTGAGTTCTGGATAGAGCAGATTATGCAAGCGAGAAGAATAAGGCGTGAGGTCATCGGATTGGTTAAGTGTAGAAGACACCACCTATTCATTCAACGCCGTCTCTGACGCCGGAGAACTATTCCCAGAACATGCGACAGTAGTGGAGTAGGCGACGTCAGCGTTCTCGTCACCAAGAATTAGACAATGAACATTGATTCATTGGAACAAGTAACAACCCTAATCGGAAGTTTACGATTGAAGGGTATGAGTCAATATCGGCTCTGACAATCTTCGTGGTTTGGGCACCTACACCAAACTATGGTGAAGAATTTGAAGCATTCTATATGAACTTGGAGAAGTTTTACAAAGAAGACCGTACTTCTTTAAGCTCATCATTTGAGATTTTTGCTCTAGGACTGACCCAGAAGAACGTCTGAAGAAGTCACATAGAGACCCACGGAATGGAATGGAACAAATAGGCGAGAAGCAGTTTAAGTTTATGATGACGCTCAAGACCATTAACCGAAACTCGCAACTCGAGAAACCCCATCTTATAGCTGGACGTGGGAATCTCCTAATGGAGAGTACGATAGCAAAATAGACCACATCATAGTAAACGGAAAGTTTTGTCATGCCGATGTCGCTGTTGTCCCGAAATTCTATATGGAATCAGACCATGGTCCTTCGAGCAAGATTCTATTTTTTTTTCAAAAGAGAGAAAAAGCCGCTAAGTTCTAAAAATACAGTCCCAAAATCCACCATAAACTGGGACTTATTCAGTTCACTAGTCGACTGCTGGGAGGAAGCCGTGCTCGAAAACATCGACGAGGAATGCGATCGACTCATTCAACATCTTCAGGTTAGCGCTATGAAAGCTGAGGGTTCGAAAGTCTTCAACGGATATCTGTCTTCAGAAAATCTCAAGCTGACAGGCCTATGTGAAATCGCCTAAAACGCAGGCGATCGCCAACTGAAATTTCTTTTGACAAACACATTAGGTGCATATTGCATATTGCACTGCATGAACTACATGTTCTGGAATATAACCGGCCTAGGCACTATTTAGCTGGAATGCGAACTCTGATATTCCAACTCTATACCATCTTCGGGATCTAGGAGAACAAAAATCGACAGCGAAACATAGATGGGCAGGTCATATGATGAGAAGAACAGACGACAGATGGAAGAAAAGAATTGTAGAGTGGATTCCACGAGGATGCAGGCGTCCGCTAGGACAATCACCTACCTATACGTTGGGATGACGTGTTCGTGACTTAAGTAAATCAGCTGTACAAGCTCGAATCAAGTCACCCTCGTAGTCGACGACTGCACGAGGAAGAAACGAATGGAAGTGCTGCGGTTAGCAAAACCCGTGAAGACAGGTCGTGTATATAGGCATGACGAAGTATGCAGTAGAGTGGGGTTTTCGTATGGAATGGATGCGTATCAAAAGTACACGAATAGACTCAATATAAGCTGCCGAAATATTTCCTAGAGTAATATTGCAAAGTCTTCTACACAGTCGTCGAGTTTACTGTCTTCTAAGCCCTCTGTTTATCAAAAAATTGCCGTCTACTTCCGTAAAGCCCAGCGCTACTAAAGCAAAATTGCATAATTCTTTCTACTTCTGTTCAGCAAACTTCTCAGAAATAGAAAGAATGATTCAATCAATGCCGAGGTTAATAGAAAGTCGGACGTGGGAGTTACTGCCAAATTGTGTATTATCAAGAATGTCTTAATGAAGGATAAAGGATAAAGCTTTCGGTGTTGATTAATCCGTGAGGGATGCGCAATGCATTCGACTTCATCACGCATCGTTTGGAGGTGAAAGGATGGATATCTGGTCTTTAAAATGACTCGCGGTGACCTACCGATGTATCGAGCCGGTGCTGCTATCCTCCCAAACAAGTCTGGCACCAAACTGCCGAACCTGGAGGGATGGAAGGCCTGCTGGGTCTTGGGAGCGGGAATCGATACCGTGTGTATTGCAGGGCGCCACGAACCACTGCGTTACACGCGACCGCTTGTCTTAACACCGCAAAGTTATTGCTAAGATGGAATAATCTAGAAACCCATTTATTCTTAAGCTAATTGCCTTGACTGTATACTTTCCAAGCGTTTACCGCCCCATCTTGACTGGGAGATGTTCCTGGGTGTCAGCCTGAGGCCCACAGAGGGGCATTCATAAGTAATGAAGACGGGCCATCCAAATAACCAAGTAAGTAGCGAGTGTACAAGTTTAAAGTACTAGTAATTTGACAAGCTGTCTAAATGACATGGTCCTATCAAATATTCTAAAGTCATTGCAAGCCTCATTTGAAGTGCTACCAATCGTTTCCAGACTCAGTAAAAACAAAAAACCGTTACTACCAACTCTTTTTGAAAAAATATCTTTTAATCCCTTTGGTCAAACAGTTCCATAGACGCATTCGTGGCAATGCTATTTTCTCGACAACGAACGACAATTTCTCAGTCCATGGAGAAAAGGAGTCCAGAATTTAATTCACTTCCAGAACCTCCCCTATCGCCTTAAGGGTATGAACAGTTTTGACAAAATCGCATCTACTGCTTTAGAGGGTAAAGGATATAACTCTCTCGTCGTTGGTCAATCTCTAAGAGATGTGCCATGCATTCGGTTTCACCAAGCATCGTTTGGAGGTGATTGAATGCATATCTGGTCATCACAATGACTCGCTGTGGCCTACCGATGTATCGAGCCAATGCCGCTAACATCCCAAACAAGTCTAGTACCAATTCACCAACTCCGGAGGGATGGAAGGCTTCGTGGGGCATGCGAGCAGGGATCGATTCCATGTGTGCGTTGCAGGGCGCCTCCAACCGCTGCGCCACATGTGTCCCTATCTACCGCTTTACCTTTTCTTAATTGTAGCAAGTATTCGTCTGCTTTCTTTTCTCTACTCTTCTGTATATTCACCTTTATCCTATCAATCGTCCTTTTCCTCTGTCCATGAACTAATGAGAAATTCTGGAAGGATTTCTCAAAGGTTATTATATGGATGGGAATTCGCGACTCTCCGTGATTACAGTAGTTGTCCAATCACAATCACAACGATTTGGCGGAACGGTCCCCAAGGTCCAGTCGCTAATAGGATTGTTAAATGGAACATGGTAGAGAGGTTGAAGTTTTCTCGCTAATGAAAATGAATGGAATTCTGGAAAACGTTTGTCATTTCAACAATCTACAACATACCCTAAACAGGTGATTCTATTGAAACAAAAATAACGCGAAACTACATTTTGTCCGAATATTCGGTGTCATGCAAACTATGATGTGCCGTTTTGACTCAAGAACTCCTTCCCTTTCCAATTTTTTCACGAATCACCTGCGTTACAAGAAAGAATATGTGCGGAAGCATCCGTGAACCTGCTCACTCACTTATATGACGTTATATAAATCATCTGAAGTGTGGAGTACGTAAATACGTCCAAATCGTCGCTACAGTTCTCCGTTGGGGTAAATATAATGGAAGACTTTTGCGCAGCTATTGAACCACTATTGAGAGAATGTCTTTATGTTGAATGGTTTCGTAATGAAGCAACTCCTGGTTAGGATTTGGGTTGTCATCTTAAGATAGCATGGTCTCCACATTCTTAAAGTTAGGAGTTCGTTTAGTTCAGTAAAGTCTGATGTGTATGAACCAGTCTTGGGTATATTCAAGTTCTATCATTTTAGGCAGACTCATTTAAGAAGTGTAGAACCTTTAGGAATCATCGTTGCTCCAAAAACCATTCCACATTCCAGTTCCACCCATAAGCGTGCATTCTACCTATATCAATCTAACTTTTTCAATGAGATTCGCCCATTGGGTACCATGGAATTCTTTCCGGCCATCCTGTTGAGTAGATCGTCACTGCTATAAAATCGATGGGACAGTTTTATAGCCCTATACTAACTAACTGTTTGGGTGAAGATAAGTTTTTAAGTTTTTACCGGGTCCTTGCTTCGTTCGACGAGCTTCGGATAGTATTAAGTGTATAATTAGCTAAAACGTTCCATTCTTTGTGAACGTTCGTTTCATAGTGAGTAAAGATGTTTCACTTAAAACGGTTTGTGATCCACGGTGGCGTGGATATGTTATATGTTGCTTTATATTGGACCATGCTTGTTGGAGAGGTTCGAAAATTGCATAGAACTCTTAGGGTTTGGACAAAGTGTGCTGAATGAATGAGGGAATGATTCGGCGTAGAAAACATCATCTATTGTAACATTATTTTGTTGTTCATCCTTTCATCTTTTATTCTTGTTTTTCCCTCCTTTCTTTAATATTCATTCTTTCATCCTGCCACTTATTCATATTTATCCTAATATCTAAACAACATCTACTCTTCGAGTAGACTTTAAAATCCTCTCTTCCTGTTCACTGTTGCTTTATGCTATCATATACGATGCTTCCATGCACTTCATCCTTAGTCTTTCATTTCAGGCCTGGTTGTAAATTATATTGTAACTGCGATCCTCTTAAAATATGGATATTTTAAATTTTGTACGGTCTGGTGACGAACCGTATATGCAGTTTGATAGACTAAAGCTACGAAACTATTTTCCACACGAGGTCGAGAAGCTCAGCGTCTTGCGAGTACGACAGACACGAGCCTTTGACGAGGTAAATTCTAGTCCAAAGTACTAGAAAGGTTTAGCTCTGATGTTTTGTTAACCTTATTTTGCTATGGCTTTCGGGTTTCCTAGGTAGGTCATCCAATCAGAGGCGGTCTGTATGATCCAGCTTTCGGTCCTTTAGAAGCACGAGATCGTTGTGAAACGTGTAATCAGTATGAGGTTCATTGCCCCGGTAAGAAGTCGGCACTCATTTGCCAATATCTTTACTCCTTATCTTTCGAATCTTTCTTCCTTTTTCTTTGAAATATTAAGCTTGCATTCAATGCCTATATTTATGACGCTACTTCATCTTCCTTTTACAAGTTATTTTCGAGTTATTTTTTAGGCCATTTCGGACATATACAATTAGATGTTCCAGTTTTCAATCCTCTACTGTTCAGTTTCTGCTTCAATGTGAGTTGTTCTTTATATCAACAGATTTTATTATACACTTACTTGGATATTTGGATGGCCCATCTTCAATGATTGTGCGGGCCCCAGCATCATCTCCATTTTTTCGGAGTTTTGCTGGTTTAGCCATTGTGGTTCCTTAGAGTTCCAAAGTCAACCTAGCCAAAGTCTGCCCCAGGTCGTCACCACTACAGACAGTCGCTGCCTTTGTGGATCAGTAGGAGATTTGCCACCACGGAACTAGTTTGATATCAGGATGGCGGTGGGTCGTGGTATTAATTTACTCTTAGCTGGACTTTCTGGTGGAAATGTCGGACTCCTCAGCTTGTGAGGTTCTGCGGGGGGAATGAATTCCTCGCTGTACATCGCAGCCCGACACCGAGGAACACCTTCCAGCCACGGTGAGGCGGTAAACCGTTGTGTCTTATTGTTTACTAGTTGCAATTAGACGTTGGAATGGTTTTCAAGCATAAAAAGTGGTGTTTCAGCTTCTAAAAGGTTCCTGTGTGCAGTGTCATCGTTTTACATGTGGAACCGATGGAATTGCCACGAAGATCCTACTGGCCCAATTAAGGTATGAAGAACATTAACACTTCCCTTTCAAAGAAAGTAGTTTTTGGTTTCTTTTATTCCATGTTTTATTAACTATATCGTTGTTTATAGGTGTTTCGAAATAGGTGTGCCTCATCTTTCTCTCGAAATCGAGACACAGTTCAAGGACGCACTAAGAATATCCGACCAAAGTAAATCCATCTTGCTAAAATCGGCTCTTATTTCTACAGTGGTGATCGTGCAATTTTCTTGTGGATTTGCAGTTGTAATAAGCAAAGAGGAAGAAATGCAGATGCTTGCTGAATTAGACAAGCTGATTTCTGATAGCACTGGTCGGCCACTAAGCTCTTTTCACCCAGATTTCTCATCTAAAAATTCTGTGGATTTGCGGAAAACTATTATTAGGAACTACCTCAGAGATCACTTAGTGGGTTCAGTTTTTTTTACTTCTATAAGAATTCCGTATAAATTTCTGTTGGTCCCACGGGTTTCAATGTACATTTTAAGTTTAAACGAAAAGCCCGTTGTCCACTCTGCAAAGGTTTTAATGGACAATTACGAAATGATGGTTCCCGTTGCGTGCTTATTGACTTCACAGTTCATGGAAGGAAAATGAAAAAGGTGAAAGTCACAGTTTACTATTAATATTATGGTAAAGTACGAAGGAGCAAAATGTAGTTGTTACAGTTGCGCACTTATAGGTGTAATCATGGGTAATGGAATTTTGCCCTATACGTGACACTCAGATGTAATAGTAAAGTTTCTACCATTGCCAAATCGCATGTGGTTTCAAAAGCTTGAATGAGTTATGTCGGTTAAGCAGGTTTATGCCTTCCAACGGTTTACCGCCTTTGTGGTTGGGAGATGTTCTTGGGTGTCGGGCTGCCATTTACAGCGAGGAGATCCATCCCCTTGCAGGGTCTCCCAAGCTGAGATGGAGTCGGCCGTTTCCATCAGGAAGTTCAGCTAAGAGTAAACCAATGCGAGGATCCACCACCGTCGCATGATGGCACATCTCCGAAGGCGGTTACTTCGTCACGACCTGGGGCAAACCTTGACTAGGCTGACCTTAGGACTGCATGGAATCGCAGTGGCTAAACCAGCAAAATTCCGAAAAAAAAATGGAAACTATGCTGGTTCCTTAGAACCACCGAAGACGGGCTATCCAGGTGTCCAAGCATGTTTGGGTGAAGATAGTGGAGCCTTGTAAAGAGTTGCTAAGTGTTTTTCGGTTACATCTAAGCCCTGAAGTTTTGAGAAATGTTCTTAAATTGTGCGGGAACTGGTGTTCTATTAGTTTTCTGCAAAGTTTCGCAAAGAAGACTGTATACTTCGTTTTGGGTGTGGGAAAATCTATGTTCACTCTGAGTGTTATAACTGTCTTCCATTTCTTCCTGCGTTTTTGTTAAGACTCCAAAATCTAGTAAGGTTTTAGTAATTCTCTTTTTTTCGTGGTCGCAGCAGTCTACTAAAGTGTTAGCTTGATTGCGCTATTCATACGGTGCAAAATTTTATATCTTCAGAGCCTAGTTTCCTTTATTTTTCAGTTAGACACTTATAAAAGTGGTTTCGAAGGGCAGGATTTGGAGGATGCCGTTCAATCAGATGATGAAGAAGGTATTCGTTATAAACTCACAAAGTGGTTGGTCGATTTATTCCACATGTATTCAGATAAGATGGGAGATAAGGTGGATAATGTTGGATATGGTAGTAGTATTGAAATGGTAGAGGGAGCTCTTGATGTGCAGATGAAAGCTGTTCGAAACGGTGCGTGTGAGAAAGTACGTTGATTTAAATTCGTCTCTTTAAGAGAATTACCATTGCACACGCACTATCTACATTCTTAATGCATTTTTACAGCTTGCGTGGCGCGCAGCCGAAATTCGCGAACACTTTCGGCTATTATATAAAACAGAAGGAGGGCTTTTGCTGAAATTATTCCCAATGCTCAGTGACGAGGGGGTAAGCCAATATTTGTTTGAATGTTCTATCGATCAGTGCCATCAGCGATCACCCGTCAGCGGGATTTCTCCGTGGAGCCCAAATCGGCAGTGAACCCAGTCTTCTATTAATTTCTTAATTTTGTTTTATTCGACCCGTTTTCACGTCCACTGTACACATTCCAGAAGCACTTCTTGCATTCGATTCGTTTCTTCGCATCCATCATTCACGGGCTTAGGCTACTGCTTGAGGATTTTCGTTTCATCTTGAATGTCGTAGAATTCTGGTCGAACAATTCGCCCCTGCAGTCCTAAGATAGCCGGGCTGGAGCGTTCCCAATTGTATTGCAGAGAGTGATTTTTCTCGGACAAATCTGGTACCAATTTTTCGACCTTGGAGGAATGAGAGGCGTGGTTGGCGGAATTGAACTAGCAACGTGCTCGTGTTCACCTATATCACTACCACTGTACTATCCACCTCGTTGTTTAAATATACACTGTAGTTTATTTAATTCTTTAAACTCTACTACTTTTAGGCTAGTGGCTTATGTCCCCTTGATGGATTGTTCTGTGAATTGATTGTCGTTCCACCTACGAAATTTCGGCCAATTCGACTTTTTAAAGGTGAAAAGTATGAAAATCCACAATCTGTGAATCTAAGACGGGTGCTTGAGGCTACGGAAACAATAAAGGTATCCTTTAATGGCATTCATTTACTCCGTGGTTATGAATATTTAACTCTCCTCTTTAATGCTGTCTCGCTCGTTTTAAATGGGGCCAAGACCCCACAACTACTGCAATTGATCTCGAGCCGTACACAAGGCAAGACTATGAATGCAAAGATGCATAGCGCCTATTTGACGCTACAACAACGCGTAAATGCAATTTATGACGAGGTGATTTTTACACAGTTCTACTTACCTACTTGACTACTAGGATGGCCCGTCTTCACTGATTGTGCCGGGTCCAGCATGGTTTCCATTTTTTCCGGGTTTTGCTGGTTTAGCCATTGTGGTTCCCTGGAGTTACCAGGTGAGCCTAGCCAAGATTTACCCCAGGTCGTCACTGCCACATGTAGTCGCCGCCATTGGGATCCTAGGGATATTTGCCACCATGACCCTAGTTTGACATCACGACAATGGGCGATCCTGGCACTGGTTTAATGTTAGCAGGGCTTCCTGATATGAACGCCGGACTCCTCAGTTTGGGAGACCCAGCAGAGTGGATGAATCCCCTGGCTGTACATCGCAGCCCTACCTCCAGGAGCATCTCCCAGCTACGATGAGAAGTTAAACCGTTGGGAGGTTCTTTAACGTCGTTTTGCATAGATTAAAGTCGAAATAGTTTGCAAAGTTATGTAAACCGGTCTAGGAGCTGGACAAACATGATCAGAATAGGATACCTGGTATCAAACAAATCTTGGAGAAAAAACAGGGTCTTTTTCGCATGAACATGATGGGAAAGCGGGTCAACTTTGCGTGCAGGTTAGTTGAACTCCACATATGGGTTGCGGTTTACTTGTGTGGTTTTGTTGCTTACCGTCGTTTTCAATGTAGGTGCTTTAAATCCTTCCCTTCTTTTAAGCACCAAGCAAGCAAGCGTAGCAATTTATATGGCATTTTGTGTTCTGAGATGAAGCAATTTCATAGTGTTTTAAAAACAAACTAAATGAATTCTTTTAACTAACAAGAATGCCTATAGGTTTTAAATCTTTTAAATCGCAAACGAATGATATTATTTGAAGGTCTGTAATCACTCCGGATCCATACCTCGACGTCGATGAAATTGGTGTACCAGAAGTCTTTGCGAAAAAGCTTACGTTTACGGAGCCTGTAAATCTATTCAATAAAGAGCGGTTACGAAAGTTTGTTCGAAATGGACCCGACGTTCATCCAGGGTTCGTTTTACACCTTTCATTCTGCAATAATTGGACCGCAGTGAGTATTTTAGGTGTAAAATTATTATCAGAAGTATGTCTTAGCGTATCCTTTGATTTCATGTGTAGACGAATTTTTGGTTTAATATATCCTCATTATTCCTAATCGGGATTTTCTCGAAATTTATTCTGATGAGGGTCCTTTAAATAGCCTGCTCATAATTTGAGCAGTTTTATGTTTTCAGTTCAAACTACATCATGAGCAGTACGAACAGGAAACAAATGTTGCCGGGGAACTCTTGTACTGATGACGGTAAACGAAGACGAACAGCTGTAGCTAGAAGTTTGGAGCCAGCAAATACAGACAAGCTTCGACAACCGATGAAGGTGAGCTAGTGTGAATGAGCTTTATACAACCTCGTTGTTTTGTAGTACGTCTTGCCCATTTCTTGTCAAATACGAGTTCGTTTCATAGATTTTCTCCCACTTTTGAGATGATATTGGTGGTCGGCACGGATGTCTCTCATGTGAGGGATTTTGAGTTGTTAGTCGCGAGGCTACGTGGTGGCACCCACAAGGTGACGGATAGGGGGTTAATCGTAGACCAAAAGTAACCACATGTTTCGTTGAGACGCAGGTGGATCCAAGGGATGGAGTTCCTGTTTCTGCTGAGCCAATTTGGTATATACTTGCTGTATTTACGAGGCGTATTCATGCACGCGTGTGTGGGTGCGTTCAAGTTTAAGCAGATTGTATTCTACGAGACAATTCGGCCAAAAGCCTGCAATTAAGTGACAGGGAAGTATATGGGATGCGGTTAGGAGTCGCCTCCAACAAATAACCTCCTTGTCCACTCTGGGAAAGCCTGGCAAGCTACCTGTGAGTATACTCAACCTCCACATTCAGACCTCAGCAAGCTACACGTGGGTATCAAAATGCTAAACACAGTGAAAGAAGCGGGCCTCATTCCGCTGACCCCGAAAGAGCCCCAAATTGGGCAGCGTTGGGTAGGGCGAGTACGGAGATGCTGCTAAAATCTTAAGGCCGTTGGAAGCTGCCTAGATTACAAAGAACTATGGTGACGATCTGTACCTTTAATGCACGTACACTTGGATCCGAGTCCTCGATAGAAGACTTGATCATGCAAGGCAGAAAGATAAGGTACGACGTCATCGGCCTGGGCGAGGCGAGATTGCGCCACCCATTCAACGACGTCTATGACACCGAAGAACTGTTCCTCGGAGCATGCGACAGTCGAAGAGTCGGCGGTGTCGGCGTTCTGGCCAACACGAGTTTGTCCATGAACGTCGGTCGATTCATTTGAACAACTTACAACCCGAATCTGACGTTTGCGATTAAAAAGACGTGGATCAATTCCGGCTTTGACAATCTTCGTCGTTTACGCGCCGACATCAAACAATGACGAAGAAGAAATCGAAGCGTTCTATATGGACTTGGAGAAGTTCTACAGAGAAGACCATACATTCTTCAAGGTCATCGCTAGAGATTTCAACGCCACGATTGCGTCAAGAAGAACGTCTGAAGAAAGTGACATTGCGACCTACGGATTAGAATGGAACGAACAGGGTGGGCGGCTGTCTGAGTTTATCATGACGACCAAGACCATCCATGGTAACTCACAATTCCAGAAGCCGCACCCTCAACACTGGACTTGAGAGTCCTCGAATGGAGAGTACCATAACGAAATAGATGACATCATAGTAAATAGGTTTTGCCTTACCGATGTCACTGTTGTCCTGAAATTCTGGCAGGGATCAGACCATCACCTCCTCCCATTTCATTTCTCGCAGAAAGGAGAAAAAGCAGCTAAACTCAAAAAATAGAGCTATGAATTGGGACTTATTGAACTCATTAGGCTGCTGAGAATATGCCGTTGTCGACAACATCGACGAAGAATACGATAGGCTCATTCAACATCTTCACGTTAGCGCTATGAAAACTGGGAGTTCGAAAGTCACCAAGAGACGTCTGTCTCCAGAAACTCTCGAGCTGATATGCCAACGTGGAATCGCACGAGCTGTGGGTAACCACGAACTAACGTTCGGACTTGCAAAACAATGCAGGCAGGTGATAAAAGAAAACCTTAAAGAGAGAGGAGCAGCAGTAATTGTCGAAGCTGCAGAGGCAGGGAAAAGCATTCGCAGAGCCCGCTGATACTTTTCCAATTACAAGACCAAAATGACTGCACTCCGACGCCCAGATGGAACACTCACAGCGTCCAGAAAGGTAATGGAGAAAGTTATTCACGAATACTACTCAGATATTCTGAATAGCCACGTACACGTTCCGCCATACGAAATAAAGGAGGATGGATACGTCGCACCATCCGTTCTCCCTTCCGAAGTCTGACATATCAATTCGTTGGTGGAAAATAGAACAGCACCAGGTCCGGACGGGACAAGCTTCACTCGAGTCACCCCCAAGAGGAGAACACTGGACGAAGGACAGGCATGTGAGCAAGTAGGGTTTCGAAAAAAATTTACTACGATGGACCACATCCACACGATAACGACACTCAGTGAAGTATCGCGAGAGTACAAAAGATCGCCTTGACTCACTTTCATCGATTTACAGAAGGCCTTTGATTCAGTTGAGATAGAAGCAGTCATGGAGGTCTTTGATAGTCAAGGAGTCCCTACTCAGTACATAAAGATTCTTCGTGAGCTGTACAAAAATTTCACAACCAATATATCAATATTCTACAACGAGATTAACATCGACGTCAGAAGAGGGGTTAGGCAAGACGATACCATCTTGTCGAAATTATTACCGCTAGCCTCGAGAACGTCGTTTGAACATTGGAATGAAGTTCACATATGTCGTTGTTATAACATCAGCCATCACCCAAGAGGAAGGAATGCTTACCGACTTTGGCAAAGGCTATGGAAAGATTGGTCTTCGACTAAATCTTACAGAAACGATGTTCATTAGGAACGGATTAGTTTCGCATGCTCCATTCACGCTCAACGGAACGAATATCTCTGAATGCTCCAGTTATATATATCTAGTTCGGGAAATCAATATGATGAGCGGCTTAGCTCCAGAGTTGAGCAGAAGGAGAAGAGCGGTTTGGGGAGCTCTCAAGAGCATCGAGGACGTACTGAAGAGAAAAAAACAGTTGACTCCGTGCCCACCTTCTCGACTTAGCGGAACTTCCTGCGTTAACATATGCGTCAGAAACCTGGTCACTGCGTAAGCAGGATGAAAAAACACTAAGCGTTATTGAACGCGAAGTCGAAAGGACGATACTAGGATCCCGTTCCACACAAGTAAGGGATGGTACCCGAAGGTCCGACCTGCGTCAACGATCAAAAATCAAAGATTCCGTTTTGTACGCCATGCAGTCGAAGATAAGATGGGCAAGACACATAGTGCGTGTGAATGGTAACCGATGGACAGAAGCTGTTAGTGACTGGATTCCTTGGGATGTCAACGTACCGCAGGAACACCACCAACGCCATGGTCAGAGTTCTTCACGAAAAGTCTTGAAGAAAGATATGATGTTCGACAAGTGCCTAGAGCGAGCAGAACCCACTGGGCTACTTTTGCACGCGACGGGAGAAATGGAAGATTTACTGGAGCCCACTCGGGTCACTCGACGATCAGTGAGACCACAGGTGATACAGGTGATTGGTAGTCGAACCACTCAAGATTAAAAAATAATTATAGTTATCCACGATATTTTCCACAGGTTCTTCGCCATTTGTGCAACGGGGACATGCTGTTGATGAATCGGCAACCATCGCTCCACAAACCATCAATACAAGGTCACAGGTGACTGGGATAGGCTTGTGTCTTTTTTTGTTTTCTTCATTTTTACATTTTCACTGCATTTGGTTTTTAACGTGGTTTTCTTTACTTTTTTTTAAAATGCGCACTAATCCAGTAATGAGGGCGCATGTAATCGGAGACACCCCGCAATACACATGTTATCGCAGCTCGAGTCTTAGGCTAAGCAAGCCTTCCTTCTCTCGGCGGTCGCAAATTGGTACCAGACTTGTCTGGGAGAATAGTTGTACTGGCGCGATATAGCCGGTATTCTACCGCGTGTCATTGTAAAGGCCAGATATGCATGCAATCACCTCCAACGATGATTGACAAAGTCGGATGCATGGCGCATCTCTTAGTTATTGATCAACACCGAGAGCTTTATCCCTTGATCCTTTAATCCCAGTAGTTCTTTGTGTGAATCTTTTTTTCCAGCACTTCTTTTTAGAGCTCGTGTGATAACTGGCCAACGCGCTTTACGTATGAATTATGCTCCATGTAAGGCATACAATGCGGATTTTGATGGAGACGAGATGAATGGACACCTTACTCAAAGTCACATCGCTCAGTGTGAAGTTGCGGAACTAGGTAAGGCCTAGTTTTTTTCATTTCTTGACTAGAGGCTTCGAATTTTTTGTTTTTACAGCTAATGTTGGGAACAATTTTCTCGTCCCGCGAGATGCAACTCCATTGTTGGGCCTGATTCAAGATCATGTCGTATCGGGAGTTTTGTTGACAATAAGGGGCCGTTTTTTGTCAAAGGTTAGTTGCTATAGAAACAGTTGCGCAGTAATGCCTTTTTGTTGTAATCTATTCTTGTAGGAAGACTTTATGCACCTTGTTTTATCTGCTTTTGCGGAGCAAAGTACACGTATTAACATTCCGCAACCTGCAATGATAAAACCGTTGATGATGTGGAGTGGGAAGCAGGTAAGAGATACGGACAGGTTTTCTCTATGAGATAGATCATTCTAATGTTAAGGCATGATCATATGTGGCGAGTGTCGTTTAGGTGATTTCTTGCATCATCAAAAATTGCGTGCCTCGTGATAAGCCTCTCATCAATCTCGTATCGAAATCGAAAACACCTCTATCGTGTTGGAAGGTACGAGGGTTCAACACTCCACCGTATAATATGAGCGAGTCAGAGGTTGTCTTTAGGTGAGAATGTTCATGTTCTATTAGATTTGTTGTCCAGATTTGTCTTAAGACACACATTGTGACTCGACTATTGCGCTTTTTTGAGTGAATTTACTCTGGGGTACAAGAAAGTAAGTTGACAATATACAATGCTGTTTGAGGGACACTGAATAGCTAGTACGGTAGTTGTTTTAAACGCATTATGGATCAGTCAAACTCTTTATTTGTTTAGGTTTAAGGATTTGTTAACGGTCTTGTATGGGAGTGGTGAAACGTCGTCTCTATTTGTGAGGATGCTTAGGTGGCGCAGTACTTGATAGGTGTTGTGTAGTGACACTGCTGAAATTTGATATCGGTTTTCCACGTAGCAGATTTTTAGTTCTAACTAGTCGAGAATTAGTACTAACATTGAGCTGTTTTTCAAAGGCACTGTAATGAGAGAGCCTTTGAATACATAAAACTGGCCACGTAATGCTCAGAGCCGGTTTCTCGACCATTGACGATATTTTCTCGATCACTATGGTATTGGGGAAGCGGTGTTGTCCACTCTTTCGTAGAAGACTTTGCTCTAATGCATGTATATACAGTTTTGCGACTCGTTGTTTTTTAAAATTTTTCGTCATGTTTTTTTTTGTTCTAAATGCTTTGACAAATTAAAAACGAAGTCCAAAATTTTAAAATCGCCATCTGAACTAGTAGAATTTAAATTTAGTATGGGTGTATTCGTTTAAAGTTGTAAGTTTATTTCCATTATTTTCACTCAGGTGCGTTTTATTCAGTGCATATTGAGTATTAAAATCGTGATTGCTCTAGTTCGCTAAAATTGACCAACCCTATTAATAAACAACTGTTTGGTAACGAATTTTCTGTTGTGGTCAGAAGGAACTCAATATACCAGAAGTGTGCCTTTATGTTCTTAGTATTTTGAGCTGATTTGTAAAACAAGGGTATTCATCTAAATGTAAATGTCATCAGGAAGATTACTTTATGCGTACCCTTCTTTTTATTGTGTTGCGATCTTTTTTTTTCCTTGTTTGTTTGTTTATTCGTACTGCAAGGTTTTCCAGGCAAGGTGAACTTTTGGTGGGTGTATTGGACAAGCAACACTATGGTGCTACCCAGTATGGCTTGATTCACAGCTGTTTTGAACTATATGGGCATAAAGTTGGAGTGCAAATTCTGTCTTGTTTATCGCGTCTTTTCACCACTTTCTTGCAGGTGTGTATGGTTTTCTAAGCATCTTGTTTAAATAGTGTTCATTGTTGTTCTGTGATTCCTTCCAACGATTTGCCGCCCCATCATGGCTGATAGGTATTCCTGGTTGTCGGGCTTCGATGTACAGCGGAAGGATTCATTCCCCCAGCAGGGCTTTTCAAGCTGAGGAATCCCTCGTTTACATTAGGAAGCCCTGGTGGGAGTAAACCAATACCAGGATCCACCACCGTCCTGGTATCAAACCAGTCACGTGGTGGCAAATCTCCCTCAGATCAACAAGAGCGGCGACGGCCTGTGGTGCTAACGAGCTGGGACAGACTTTGTGGCTGAAGCTGCAAAATTTCGAGAAAACAGAAATTATACTGGAACCCGCAACACCAGCGAAGACGGGCCATCCAACTATACAAGTTCGTCTGTGATTAAAATTTTACCTATAAATGATCTGGAGTGTTTTCTACTATTTCATGCTTGGCCATCTTCATCGTTTAATACTTACTTGATACTTGAACGATCCGTCTTCACTGGTTGTGCGGGTCCCAGCATGATCACCATTTTTCGTAGGTTTATTGGTGAAGCCACCGTGGTTCTCTGGAATCTTGAGGTCAGCCTGGCCTAGGTCTGCCCCAGGTCTTCACTACAACAGGAGGTCGCAGCCCTTATGGATCAGAGGGAGATTTGCCACCATGCGACTTTGGTACCAGGACGGTAGTGAATCTTGGTATTGGTTTGCTTTTAGCTAGGCTTCCTGATGGTAACACTGGACTCGTTTACAGTTTGGGAGACGATGTCGAGGTGACGAATCGCCTCGCTGTACATCGCAGCCCGTCACCCATAAACACCTCCCAGCCACGATGAGGCGGTAAACCGTTGCTAGGGCCATCTTCATTAGAATTTATAATTGTCAATAGTACAGCTATTTTCTAGAGCAAATATTAACTTTGTTTGTTCTGGTTATAAGAAGTACGAGCTAATTTTAACTTATTGTTTACTGCCTACTCTTTTTTTAATGACAGAGTATATTGCGAAATGTAACTTCACTGATGCTGAGATATTTGCAAAACTCCGCACCGCAGGTGTCTGCGATGCAGATGCTAACCTGTTCACCGCCACACCATGCCGGTCCTTCATTTCGCCTTTCTCTCATCCACTTCTATCGCTGCCTACCATCAGCAATCAACCGTCATCAGTGTTTGCTCAACAAGGATATCGATAACTATAACTGTAGCTTCTATAATGCTGAAATATTTGCAGAACACCAGACTGCAGGTGTCTGCGGTGGGGAACGAACGCGCTATTGTCCTTTCCGGGGAGTAACACGTGCACCACCACACCATGAGGGTCCTTCGTTTCGCCTGTCTCTCAGCTAGTTCTATCGATCTTTTTGCCATTAGCAATCACCCGTCAGCGGGATTGATCTGGGGAGCCCAAATCGACATTGAACCAAGTTAAACTGAGGCTATTGTTGTAATCACAATCTTAACCTTTAAGCACTAGCTGAGAGGTAGACGTAGCGAAGGACTCGCACGGTGTGGTGGTGAACGCGTTACTCCCCGGAAAGGACAATAGCGCGTTCGTTTCCCACCGCAGACACCTGCGGTCCGGAGTTTTGCAAATATCTCAGCATCATTGATGTTATGCAAGCTAATTGTTTCCATCAAATTGTTGAGCTTGTTTCAGCTTCATGGTTTTACACTTGGCGTGGCGGACATACTCGTTAGTAGGGACGCCGATAAAGTTAGGAAACAAGCTGCGAAGGAGTCAAGAACAATTGGCGATCAAGCGAGTTGAATATACTTCTTATAGTTTTACTTGCATATTTTTTGTACTTTATACTTTTCGTCCTTTTCCCTTATTTTTGTCTATGCTTATTAGGATTTATTTGAAGGACTGAGCTATTGAGTATGTTAACTACTAATTTTTGAACGGTTAAAGTCAGTCCTACGCTTTATTTTACTTCATTCTGCTTCAAAATTTTGGTTGCTGCATTTAAGTCGTTTTGAGTTTTCTCATTTCCACTTTTATTCCCTATTCCTCTAGCCGATCTTTAAAGGTAGTTCGCAGTGCATTCGGTCTTGACGACAGTATTTCTCAAACGGAAATAAAACGAGTCCTCGCATCCGCTTACTGTAGTCCGCAAGGCGAGGGGCAAGATGTCAAAATGCTTGACTATTCCATGAAACAAGCTATGTCGAAATATAATGATGTTATAACAAAGTAAGGCTCTTTTTCACCGTCTTTTATAGGTATTGTGAAAACAAAAGATGTACTATTTAAAGAGCTTGTGTCCCAGATGGCCTAATTAGACAATTTCCTGATAACGCACTGCAGCTCATGATCTTGTCTGGTGCGAAGGGATCAGCTGTGAATGCCATGCAGGTTAGTACTGCCAGTTTTCTTAATTTGCACTATGCATTACGTTTTCTGCTTGGACAGATCGTAACAGGTCCAGGAATTGTTTTTTCTTGTCTTATACCTATTTCTCTCAGAAGTCGGAAAAAAGTGAGACATAATACTGTATAATACAGCATGCATATACGGTATAATAATTTAATATCACGTTTTTTTAGTTCTCAGTTGCCAAGATTTTGACTTCGCATTCTTCAGGACCGTTGTTCATTAGAAAAAGAACATGTTAAGAACTCGTACCAACTGTTCATGGGTAGTGTGTAGAAACAAATTGACTTGTTTATCGATTCTGAGATTAATTCAGTCGGTTTTTTCGAAATGAAAGGTGGCAAAACTCGGTATTTCAGATGCACTTCGAAACCGTGATTACCCTTTCAGCGGTTCACGTGTTATCCAGTACAGCAACCGTGGCCCTTGCTGTGTTTTTATCTTAGGCAGTTTTTTTTTTGCCTTAACAGTTAATAAACGACTAAGTAACTGAATAAAAGAAATGAATAACCGTTAAGAAAATTGTAATTTCGACTACATCTTCAACTTAACTGAGTTCAGTGCCTTTGTGCTCCTCAGATCGTTACCATTAATTGGTGATTGCTGATAGTACCGTTAGGTTAAAATAACAGGGTGAGAGAATGGTGAAGCAAGGGCTTCAGTGGTGCAACGGGTAGCATGTGAACTCCTGGAAAGGGTAATGGCGAGTTGGAATCTAGCTCGGGGTCCGAGTTTTGCAATTATCTCAACTAACACGCATCACCACTATAAGGATGCATTAACTAAGCAATGTGTTCCCCAAGATATCTCAACATTATTGTGGTTGTAATTGGCGTAATGCCATGCTATGGAAAAGGAATGGACAATAAATAAAAGTTAAAACTTCGTATTTTTGTTGAGCAAACGCGAGGTGTTATTATTCTTTATTCACGAATAAGCTGACGTTTTGGCGGATTTCGCCTTCCTCAGAGCCTGGAAAGGTCAAGTTGATAGCAATCTACTCGGCCAGACGCCTCCATAACCAAACAAAGAAACTATAAACCAAGATTTCTATATATCTACAGTAGAGTAGCGGCTCGAGATCAGTCACCGGTGCTTCCACCTTAGACATAAATGCAATGGGAAGACTTGGAGCCAGTCGTTGTCTCATTGCCAAGCCTCTTATTTGAGCGTAATACTTTCCAGACCATCTGAAGATTGAGCAGCTTAAGTATTCTTTTAAGAGTGCCATCAACTGTTCTATCTTGAAGCCATACATATTTATTTCTCCTTCGTGTTGCATAAGGAGTTCAAGTATGGCTGTAGCACCGGCGACTGATCTCGGGCCGCTACTCTACTGTAGGTATGTAGACGACTGCTTTGTCCTTTGCTCAACACAAGAGGAAATGGACAAATGTTTCGAATTGTTAAACGCACAGTCAGAGTATATCAAGTTCACCCGAGAAAAGCCGAAAGAAAAATGGCTTCCATTCCTGAACGTACAAATTCACCTGTCAGAAAATGGGTACATTACAAAGTGGTACCGAAAGCCAAGTAGCACTTCCATTTTTGAACGTACAAATTCACCTATCAGAAAATGGCTACATTACAAAGTGGTACCGAAAGCCAAGTAGTAAAATTATCTTGGTTCATTACCTCTCCTCTCACCCCTCTCACACGAAAAGGGCGCTTATAAGAAACATGTTTCGAACAGCAACCAACGTATGCACGGGAAGAGAGCAGACAGAAGAGTACCGGAACTTGGCACGACAAATAGCCATTTCTAATAGCTACGAAACTGTAGCTCGGGATAGGTGTAGAGGAAATCCTAGACCCATAAATGACAACTCTAGCTATGAAAAGGTCCCGTTTATCCTACCTTTCATCTCAAATGATATAAGTACTGCTATAAAACGCTGCTTAAGAAGGGCGGGTTTAGAGAATTCAGTAAGCGTAGTTGAAATACCATCGAGCAATCTTAAGCGCCACCTAGTTCGTAACCGCCCATGTAACCGTCTATGTGCAACTAAAATTGCATAATTTGCTCCAGTGGTAGAGACGGTGATTCCATGAACTCGAGTATAGTTTATCTTATCTCCTGTAAGACGTACGGTGAGGAATATCTTGGCCGGCAAACATAGACCAAATACTCCGCTAGGTACGCATAGGACCCAGAGACATAACGGGGAGGACTTTGAAGTATGTGTCACGATCCTAGCACGCGAATCAAGAACACAGGCGCGCAAAACTCTAGAGGCATTCTGGATTAATTCCAAGAATCCGAAAATGAACCGCAGGGAAGAATGCCTCATTATCACGCGTGATATAGGGCAGTATATAAGACTGCTATTCTGATGGGAAGGGCACATTATGCTTCTGTGTGGTTTCTGTGCGGTTGGGCTCTACGTGACATAATTAGTGGAAACCTCATAGAAAGTGGTGAGTGTGCAAAGCTGTGTTCAATGTGATTGAAATCTTGGTTTAGGGTTTCTTTTTTTGGTGATGGAGGCGTCTGGCCGAGTAGATTGCTATCGACTTGACCTTTCCAGGCTCTGAGGAAGGCGAAATCCGCCGAAACGTCAGCTTAATCGTGAATAAAGAATAATAACACCTCGCGTTTGCTCAACAAAAATAAGAAGAATTACTTGATCAGTGCGGAGGTTAATAGAAAGTCGGTCGTGGGAGTTACTGCAGAAAGTTGAAACATTGGAAGATATCAGTTGTTGTTTTTCAGATTTCTTGTTGCCTCGGACAGATTGAACTGGAAGGCAAGCGTATGGCTGTAACGGTTGCAGGAAGAACTTTACCATCCTTCAGGTTAATAGGTGTCTAAGTGACTTCATAATTTAGCAGTTTTTGTCTTATTATAGCCTTTAGAGAGTTCGATCCTTCACCACGCGCTGGCGGTTATGTAGATCAACGTTTTTTGACTGGTATTAATCCACAGGAGTTATTTTTCCATACGATGGCTGGGAGAGAAGTAAATTATTTGTCTTCAAAATCCTTTAAAACAGTATAGTTTAAATTTGATGGGTCATATTTAGGGTCTTATAGACACGGCCGTCAAAACATCTCGTTCTGGTTATTTGCAACGATGTCTGGTAAAGCATCTAGAAGGTCTAAAAATTCACTACGATGGAACCGTGAGAGACCATGATGGTTCGATAGTGCAAGTATGTGTTGTTTTGCTTTTTGTACCTTCTAGTGACTTCCTACTAATACGACTTTGAAGTTCTTTCTTTCTTTAGAAACTTACTGGCTTGATATGCCTAGGTTTGTGTTCCACCACAACTGAAAACTTTTGAATTGGTTTTATTTGTAATCAGTTGCTCTGAATAATGGAATGAGGGGCGAAGAAGGTTAATTAAACTAGAACAGTTTCAACTTAGCTTGGATTTTTAACCAATAGTCTGTTAGTCATCCTTGTTTATCTAATTGTTTATAACCAACGTTTTTTTGTTTTAAATAGCTCATCAGGGTTAGCGCATAATATTGAAAGTGTCAGGCTAAGAGGTACCTCAAAATACATTCAGAACTGTCATTTAGTAGTCTCCGATCGTATCTGTTATGTATAAATATAGTTGTCTCAATGGGAGAGTACATTAAAAACAACGTTGGAATGTCGAGTGTACTAATTTATATTGTTTTATTTAGTTCCGTTATGGTGAAGATGGACTGGACGTGACGAAGTCCACATACATAAGTCCGAAGACGTTTCCGTTTCTTAAGGGCAATTTAGATGCTGTTATGCAGTGTTGTAAGCCAAGGGAAATCACGGATTGTATGCTTAATGTTGAAGCTGCCGAAAAACAGTACCGCAAGGTAACAATGCGTTTTTCTTTATGCTCTTCTATTTGTCCTAGTTTTTGTATGGGATGAAGTTTAGATAAAAAAATGGCGAAAGAGAACTCTTGTTTTCAATGGTCATCCTAACAAGAAGCACTACGTATCTGGTTTCACAGAGTTTTCCGCAGATCATAAAGGCGTAGCCAAGGATCGGATAGTTGCATTGTGGGCAGAAATGGATGTGATAGAGAGGTTGAAGTACGAGAAGAGAGCACAAAGCAAATGTCCTTGTGCTGTAAATGAAGTGAGTTTTTTCTGGTACAGTTTTGCCATAGAAGTTGAACTTTTGTACATTCCAGAAGTTTAATGTTAATAATACTCTTGGAGCCCTTCCTGAAAAAACACTTGACTCTATTTACGAGTTTACTGGTAGAAATGACAAGTTGCGACGTTCATTTTTTTGGAAAGGTAAGTTACTTTTTTCTTATGGATCGGAACATTATCATCATTCGAAAAACAGCTAGTTAAGGTGATTTATACGAAGATATTTAATTCCGATTCCAGTTCTTAATTGCAGGAATGCGTTCCTTAGTTGAACCTGGGGAAAATGTTGGTCTTCTCGCTGCACAGTCAATTGGTGAACCATCTACCCAGATGACGCTGAACACCTTCCATTTCGCTGGTAGAGGAGAAATGAACGTCACTTTGGGTATCCCACGTCTTCGCGAAATTTTGATGACGGCGTCTGACCATATAGCGACTCCTAGCGCAAAGGTGTGTTATGTGTTTGAACTGTTGAAGCCTTTCCTTCCAACGATTTACCGCCTCGTTGTGGCTAGGAGGTGTTCCTAGGTATTGGGCTGCGATATACAGTTGTGGGAGGTGGGTTTCATCCTCCCAGCAAGGTCTCCCAAGCTGAGAGAGAGAGTCCGGCATTTACATCAGGAAGCCCAGCTAAGAGTAAACCAATACCGGGATCCACCACCGTCCTGGTATCAAACTGGTGGAATGGTCGCATATCTCACTCTGATCCACAGGAGCGGAGACCACCTGTGGTGGTGACGACCTCTGGCAGACTTTGGCTAGGTTGACCTCGAGACTTCAGGGAATCACAGTGATTAAACCAGCAAAACTCCAAAAACTGGAGATTAAGCTGGAGCTCGCATATCCAGTGGGGATGGGCCATCCAAGTAAGTTGAAGCCTTTGAGTTGTTGGAACTAGGACCTAGGTGCATGATTTATATCAGTGTTCCGGTCGAAGTTTCTTTGATATAGCCACACAAAGTGGATATGTCGGCGTCTTCAAAATATGTCGGGTTTTACCCTGAAATTCAAAATAAAACTTTTCTGATATCATATTGAACTATATTAGTCGAAATGAGAACATTAAAATTTAACGTCGAGGTACAAGTCGGTCTGTAGACTACACTGTTTCTAAAAGCAGTTTAAATAACGGGTTGGAAGTACTTATCCTAGTTCTTCCAGTTTTCTCAGTCTGTTGTACGAAGTGTTATCAGCAACATTGGTTCTTTTCCATTGATCAGTGTCGTTGCAGCGCTTGGTCTACGTTATCTGTTTCCTGATGGAACTTATTTTTTATAATTTTATGTATAACTTATTTCTTTCTACTATTTAAGATGTGTTTTTTTATCCTTGGAATGAGGAGAAGCCGTTTTCGTTTCTGATGGAAATTTTGCTCCAAAAATTGTTTCTGTGCTTCGTTTCCATCCCACTTTACACAGAACATAGTTTTGCCAGCATTTGACTTTAGCTGAACATGAAAAAAGTGAATAAGGTCTGCATCACTTTGTCATGCAAAGTGAGCGCCAAGAAAAGTTTAAAATGATATTCTGTTTGCTTTCCTTACACTTCATTCGACCTTCAATAATTGAATTTTTGCTTTTCGAGTCCTTTTGTTACCCGGAACTTTCGTTTCCTTCATATCAAATTCGCGAGATATTAAACCAGTCTCTGTGTATCTGGTTTGCTTAACGACTTCTTCAAGTATTTTTCGTGAATGCGAGCAGGTTGTTTCCAACAAATCTGGTTTCATGGCTATCATCGTAATCACATTTTTCTGCAACTAGCGTACCACACGACTGTTAATGGTTTAATGGCCAAATGTAATATTAAGTTATTCTCCTCACGCTTCACATGTAAGTTTGAAGACGTGAAATTTCTCGAATGGGCTTTTTTCATTTTCGTCTCAAATGTCTTAATTCGTGACGAATCGGCATGAGAGCAAAAACGCTAACACAAAGATGCACAGCAAGATATGTACTACAAAGTAGTATATCATGATAGCAATGGATGAAGTTTAAAGCTCTTAGGGTTGGCCAAAACCCTTAGGTATGTGCCATGTATTCAACTTTATTAAGCATCGTTAGAGGTGATTGAATGCATCCCTGGCGCACACAGTGACTAGCGGTGGGCTGACGATGTATCGAGTCATTCCCCCACCCCCCTGTATTCCAGGACACCTCTAATCGTTGCGCCACGTGCACCCACCGTGGTAGCACTAGAGGAAGTTTTATAGAGATCCACTCCACCACTCCACTATCCCTTCTAGAATTAAATATATTAATTACTGTTGCCTTGATGTGTAGGAAGTTGGTTTTTGAAATGTTCCTTTATCGCTGATGCTTCTCATCAAGTGTCCGTTTCTTAGAAATCGCAAATATCAAATATCTCTGTCGATGATCTGAAGTGCGAATTCCGTTTGTTACTGTGTTTGGAAACTTTTTTGTAGAACACCTTGTTCATACTAGAGAAAAACCTAGACGCTGAGATACGTCATCGTTCATCACAGCGTAACTTCTAATGGCTTTCGTGTAGCTCGTTTTTCGTAGGGAACTCTATCGTCGTGGTGCCGTTGTGATAATATTCAATTAAGGTTCTCATGCAGGAGTGGTCCACATTTTGATAAATGTTGGTAAAGCATCATCGACGCTATTAAGCGTTTTTCACAATGGATGAAGGTTAAGGCGAAACACATTTGGCAGTATTCGTAGTGATACTTGGACTCATCAACCATATGCGACTCTAGGCGGCTGTTCTTCCTCAGTGGAAGGTATGTAAAAAAACGGCTCTGAAGAAGGCGGTACTGCCGAAACGTCACCTTTATCGAAATAAAGAATGAAATAATATTCCGTGTTTCCTCAACAAATATATAGGGAATTGTTTGATCAATGCCGAGGTTAATAGAAAGTCGGTCGTGGGAATTCTTGGTAGTGTTGTTGCATAGATGGACACTCGTAAAATGTTGTGGACAGGAGGTGTGTCATTTTACAGCAGTTGTTTTCCATTGCGGATCATCATAGCTATACCTCCAGATGAAAATGTCGAGCTCCGTCAGTAAAGTGAACTTCCCGGTGAAGGTTAAACGATTGCTTTACAGCGCATTTCAACATTCAGAAATAGCTCATCGCTAGTAAGATAGGGCATCATACTTTAAGGAGTTTTGTGCATGTTCATGTATTCTTTCTTTCATCATGTACGTCTTACGAAAAGTTGAACAATTAAGTGTGCCTAATTTGTAGATTCCAATTCTTCCTGGAATGCCACAGGAGAGAATCAATATGATACGAAGAGAATTGGACAAGGTGTTTCTGAACCAAGTATTGCGTAAATTTTCTATCGAAGAAAAAGTGAATCTGGTAGAGAGGTTTGTCAGTTTATTCTTGTTGGTATCATTTCACTTCTTTCTATCTAAACTCGCATATATGTACATACAAATATACACATATATATTTGTATTTCTTGTACAAGATTTCATCACACCTATTTTTGGATAACGAATCAGTGTTATATAATTTCGAATGAAAGTGCGAACATATTCCTTCCCTCTTATGCCATTTTATTCCGTGCGCTATTAAATTTGGGAAGTTCAACCTCGATGAAGTTGCTATTGGAGCAGAACTCGTGAATGATTTTCTATTGCTGTCATACTTTTCGTTAATGTGATGAACCTACACATTGAAATGTCAGGTGTGCTTGTGTTTTGTCACTAGTCAGCTTGGTAATACATCTTAGTCATTATCAATCACCTCTTGGTGGAAGTTTTATCTTTCCCTTTTGATTTTTCCTTTTAGTTTTGACAATTTCAGCGGTTGTTGGCGGCGTTACTATTTGCGAATTGAGATTCTCTCTGCTAGGAAACGACAAGAGAATGCAAGATATCTCAGTAGAAGAACGATCATGAATGAGGTACATCGAAAATTTGAAACGTTTTAGTGCACAGTGGCTTTCTAATATAAAGAAAGAAATTCAACTACTAAGTTAAGATGGAGCAGCGATTTTTGCGTGCGTTAGCTAATGCTATTGCCAAGAAGTATCGTGATGTGTTGGAGTACCAGCAAATGCAACATCGGAAGTTAAGATCTGGTAATCAGAATGCCGGTTTAGGAGTAAATGAAGTTGCCGCAGGGATACGGTGAGTATTGTTGTATGGGCAATACATTTTATGTTTTCGTAGAAGTAGAAGTACTATGCTTGAAAATTGGATTACGTTTGGTCCATCAGTGCGAAAAGGAGCGCAGTGCATCCCTCATTTAACTAGAGCGCTAGTTTTTTTTTAGCAAGATTTCTTCACACGCATAGCAAGAAACCCGTTCTAAATCTCGTCATCATCTCCAGTTTTTGGCTTTTACGAATCAAAGACTTTGATTTCGACTCTTCAGCTAGGTTTCTTTAATGACGGCGTCGACTTCTGCCATTAGTTTTCCATTAGCTAGGTTTTTGGACAAAGTTGTTGATTCATCCAATTTGGATGTGTCAGCTTGAGAATGAAGTTACCGATGTATGCCACAGCTTTACAATCATCCCCTGTCACAGTTTCATGTAGCAATGTAGAAAAAAACGATGTAGAGTTACCAGAGGTGGGCACTAACATTTGTTTAACATTCTTTAATCACTCATAGTTTTATGAAAGATTCAAATTGTTTGATACAACATTTTTGATTGAAGCCCTCTGCATCATATGGATGACGGAAATTCGTCTGAAGAAGAGGCTGTTAGTGGTAAAGAAGCAGATGCAGTTGAACAGAGACTTCATAATAGGCATTTGTAAGTTCCTACTTAGCAAATCTTAAAATGCCAAAGTCTGTTCTAGGTTGTCACAACGACAGGCAGTCAGAGCCCGTGTGGATCAGATAGAGATTTACCACCATGCGACTTTGATACCAAGACGGTGGTGGATCCTGGTATTGGTTTACTCTTAGCTAGGTTTCCTGATGGAAACGGCGGACTCCTTCTCAGCTTGGGAGACCCTGCCAGGAGACGAATCTCCACGCTATACATCGCAATCCGACACCCAGGAACACCTCCTAACTTTTATATTATCGTATCTAAATTGAAATACTACTCGCTCAGTTTAGTGTTAAAAAAAACTACTCTGAAAATTTACTCTGGTGCAGTGTATGTCGTTTCTTACACGCGATAATTAGGGATGACGCGGCGGAATACGAAGGTGAAGAGGAAGATCGTGTTCATGTCGAAAATGATGACGACGAGAGACAGGTGATTACAGGTCCAAGTTGTTCATGTCTTAGGCGCATTCCTATGTATTTTTTTTGAATCTTAATACGATTGCGCTTGAATACTATTTCCGGAAATAGTTTTGTTCGAAACTGAAGAGCGGGTATTCAAAGGGCTTAACGAAGTAAGCAGAAAGATAGGACTGCTTATAAATTGGAAACGAACGCAGTTGTCGAAAAATCGATCCTACGGTGCTGTGCAGATCTGGTTTTTTGATTACAGAGAACACATCATTTTTATTTAGGCCGTGCAGTAGAAATGGAAAATGAAATGAAGGAAGGGTAATGTAGAAGGTGAACAACAAAATGGTATGGATTCGGGCTCTCGGCGGAAAAACTTTACCACGATATACTCAAAATTTTTTGGTTTAGGATATCCGCTCTATAAGCATATATCATATTAGCTGTATATACGAAAATGCACCAAGCGCGTTTGCATGACTAAGTGGTAGGTAGCCCTGTTCAGCTGAGAATCCCATCTTCTGAATTCAAATGTGTCTCAAGTAAACTTTTTGTGAATGTGTATTTGCGTACGTATACAAATTCGCGCGTTTTAAATTTCGAATGAAAAACGGGCCGAAGACGTTTAAAAACCCTAGTAAAATGCACAAATGGTCATAAGTGGTGTGTTTATCCTTGTATTCGTAGCGCTTATCATCTTTGTTAAGAATGACGCTGAAGAAACGGAAGAAGAGCAGAATAATAACGAAGCGGGATCCGGAGATGAGGAAAGAGAACCAGCTGAAAGAAAAATAACGAATGTGGATGAACGTATAAAAGTAAGCTTAATCGTAATGATTAACATATGAGTGATGAAAATCCACTTTCCACATTTCTATTTATAGTCACAGCACTCTTTGAATCCACTTCTACAGTTTTCTTTGTCGTTATATTTCAGTTTGTGATCTCTCAGTCAAATCTAATTGTTGACTACAAGTTCGATGTAAGTTCTGAACGATGGTGTGAAGTTGTGTTTCAGTTGCCACTGGGTAACAAGAGTAAATTAGACTTGGTGACGATAGTTGAAAAGTTAGTTCCTATTAAGAAAGTTTCTGTCAAATCGTTATTGTTCTCTTTCTCTCTTTTGTAGTGTTGTTTGCCACTAGTGATGGTGAAATAGTGGTGAAATACTTAGGGAAGTCGATAAGTTTGTCGTTCATCAAACACCCGGTATAGAACGGTGCATAGAAATCGAAGAGGTGCTGCACGACATCCCGACAAAGTACTTACAGACGCAGGGGATCAATCTTGAGGTACGGTTTGTGAAGTGATTTTACAGCAACATTAGTGATTTCCTTTGGATATAACACTGGCTAAGTTGTTGACAGTAGTCGTTGCAATATCTACTATTTTTCCACATAGCATTGTTCTTTAGAACACTTTTAATTAGAAATATATGGGTGGTTGTTTAGTCATGTTTACAATAAAATGCGTAAATTTGGTGGGCAATTTTTCAGAAGCGGAAATTTCGCTCAGAAGGTCAAAATTGGTAAACCTCAAACGTTCTATATTTTTTAAAGATGACCTTCTTGCTTCGAGTTTTACTCGAATTTTTTTTGTCCTAGTTTAATTTTAGATTTGTATTCTTTATGCTTCGTATTTTTGTTGAGCAAACGCGAGGTGTTATTATTCTTTGTTCACGATTAAGCTGACGTTTCGGCGGATTTCGCCTTCCTCAGAGCCGCTTCCTATGAGGTTTCCACTGTATTCTTTATGTATTTAAATTGTCCAGCTTGTGCTAGATTGTTACAACACATTTATTCGGCTAAAGTTTCGATCTCTTTGTCTTCATCAGAGCCGATGACTCGACTCGATGTTCACGGTTCTTCGTGTTCTGGATGTGTTCTCTTCGTCGTCACATCGAGTCGGGTCTTCTTAGATGGAGCACTGCTCAGATGAAGCAGTCTCACTAGGTGATGCTCTTTTATACGGAGCAATTGTTGTTGATTTCATGTCCGGCGATAATAACTTGTTTTTCCCGGACAATCCATCCTACGGAAATCGGTGTCACGATGTGCTAGCATTGAAGTCTTATGTCATTTATATTAAATTTTAAAGAAATAGGTTTCTTTGGAACACTATGTGGTGAATACGTGCACAGTTACACTTTTGTAACTATAAAGTTAACTTGCTGTTAGTTACACTTTCATTTCTTAAGTTAATATTTCGAGAAGTGCGGCCAATAAGCCGTTCTTCGCTTTTGAAGTTCCCTTAATATATCTTTTACGGAATCGTTGAAGGACACTTCATCCTTTCCTCCTATTTGCTTAAAAAATATATCTCTGTTCATTTTTCTGTCATTCCAAAACCATATAAAGTGGGCAGTTTATTTTCTTCTTCTCCACACATGGTGAGGTGTTTCGCGAAAATTCGTTTTAAAGGCATTCTTTCGACATGCAGACGTGCTTGACGTGAACGCAATTCAAACAAACGATTTGAATCTGGTTCTCAGACACTACGGAGTGGAAGCTTGTTCAAAAGCGATAATCCAGGTTCGTTCTCATCTTCTCGTCGTTGTTTCCTTTACCACCATTCCTGAACTATCTAAAATCGGTTCCGTTTTGTATTTCTTAGGACTTGGTCTATTTTTTCAATTGCACGAATTCCAGTTATTTGCTTTTTAACAGGGACTGAAGGTGAGATTAATGAGTACTAGATTTAGGTGTGATTATGGCAATTTTGTAACTTCTAAGGAGCATAACTACCACAGGTAATACTCCGCAGTTATTTCGCGCTTTTTTATGATGAGCTTTAACTTTTACAAGGTTGATAACAGGTATTTTGATCTTCACTGGTTAACGTTTCTGTCGGTACGCCTTTATCGGAGCAATTTCTGTTCTCTAAGAAATGTGACCAGCTGTGTAGTGTTTATAAGAAATCTTTGGTAAATCGCATTAAAAATGGCTTCGTGTACGTCGCCGAAATTGTAGCGCTTGAAAAGCAAACTGCATTTTAAGAAGCTCGTATCGGTTTACCAAAGGCAGTTACTGAGAATGAAGTAACTTGTTTATTAGTGCCGAGGTTATTTGAAAGAATAATATATATTCTGTGGAAGACTGGCCATATATATTCATGCTGTCTGTACTTTCACAAGGTCACAGATCTTCACTTTTCTGATGACACATGAATTCCTCTCATTCTTCTGTTTCTATCAACAGATGATAGTTTAGTGCGCAAAGTTATGACACTCATCGGATGGCCTGTGTTAGTTACTTTCAAATGTCGAATTTTCATTTGTTGATTCAGCTTTATGGAAGTAAATTACTGCACATCTCACTGGGATTGGTGAGCATTTTGAACGTTATTCATTAAATGTATTCTTTCTTTGATAAACTTACCCGAGGTTGGTTAACAATCCTTATTCAGCTAACGTTTCGACATCTTTGTCTTCATCAGAGACGATGATCTGAGTCGATGGTCCACAATCGTTCGTCTTCTCGATGCATAATCTCCGCCTTCCGTCGGCTCTGATGAAGACGAAGACGTTGATACGTTAACCGAATAAGGATTGTGTATCAACATCGTTTAAGCCTATCAAAGAGGGAATACATGTTGTTTAGTCAAACCGAGGTTAAAGAAAAACCAGTTTTGAAATATTGTTATTCATTACTTCTCTTGCAAGAATATATTAGTTATTTCAGCGATTATTTTACGGAACTGTTGTATACAGTGTGTTTTATTTATATGTCGATAAAGAGCAGGCAACAAATGGAGTAGCGACGCACTACACTTGCTTGTTGAAGACATCTAGCCAGCAGCTTTGTTAAAAAATAGCCTACTAAGTAAAACATGTGCAATTTTGGGATATCGGTTTAATTTTTAATACTCCCACGACGACACGTAATCTCCGGTTTTTTGCGGACTAGACGACGTATAGTTTTCAGCCTTTGTGGTCTTGATGGCGTATTGGAAATGAACAATCATTTTTCGGTGCCTAGCGGGCATCGTGAGTTGTAAAGATGATCGGATTGTAGAAAAGACTTCGCTCTATCGTTCTGTAGGTATGAGTGGTATTTACGACACTATTTACTATATGTTACAATGGTCCTTCATGCAAGAACATTACTGTCAGTATTTAGAAGTGTTTTACAAGTTATGGGTTTCTATTTTAGTATTTCTATGACTGCATATTCTTTGCGATAACTGCCATTCACTATAACAATCAGAATTGAAATATTAGTCGATTAGCACCTAAATTTCTTGTTAGTGGAGTCGTTTGGAACACGGCTTTTTGTATATTTATAAGTGCAGAGGGCGCGTGTGGCACAGTGATCAGTGGCTCCCTCTGCAATACACATTGAATCGGTTCCAGCACCCCAAGCTTACCAAGCCTTCCATAACTCCGGGGTTAGCAAATTGGTGCCAAACTTGTCTGGGAGGATAGCACAACTGGTTCGATACATCGGTGGGCCACCGGGGGTCATTGTGAAGGCCAGATATGCCCTCACTCGCCTCTAACGATGCTTGATGAATTCGAATGCATGACGCATCTCTCAGGGATTGATCAACGCCAAGAGCTTTATCGTTTTTTATTACAGATACAGAATAGAGCTTTTCACGATCTACGCCAAGCATAACATCTGTGTTGTACAATTTATCATGTGGTAACAAAAAGTATGGGAACATACTTCTGTATGTTAAAAAACCACGAGGAAGAATGTAAGACCTGTAGGTGTTCTACAGGCCACTCCCGCAAAACCACAATAACACCTGTAGAGGTCACTCATTGCGGGAGTGTTGATATTCCACGTGACCGCTCAAACTGAATTACGGAGGATTTTTTCTTTTAGTGAAATAAGTCGACTATTTTTGGTCATTGTCGGAACGTGAAGAAAGTTGTGATATGGTAGCATCGTAAGAAGAGATGGTTGAGTATAGAAACTGTCTGTGCTTTTTCTGTAACAAGTGTGTATTCTGTCTGTAGTTTCTTCTCATTTGTTGTTCTCGTTTCAAGAATAATAGAAGTGGTACACGTTAACGTAGATATCACTTTTCGTTAAAAATATGCTGGTGGTAGATTTGCTGAGGCATTGGTCATCGCTCTGATATTCAATATCAACTAGTCTTCTGCAAATATAGGGCGCATGTGTCGCAGTGGTTGGAGCCGCCACTACGACACACACCTAGAATCTATCCCCACGCCCATAACCCACCGAGCCTTCCATACCTCCGGGGTCTGCAAATTAGTACCAAACTTGTCTGGGAGGATAGCAGCACTGGGTCGATACATCGGTAGGCCACCGCTAGTTATTGTAAAAACCGGATATGCATTCAATCACCCCTGACGATGCTTAAAGAAGTCGAATGCATTTCGCACTTGTCAGAAATTGAGGAGTGCCAAGAGGGAACTATCCTTTATCCTTTTATCCCTCTGCAAATGTAGTAAGTAGGGGTGGTCTACCGTAACATGGATATACAATACTCAGATTTGTACTTTTAGTGGGTATGTTATGAAGAGTACGGTTGTACTTTGAACTTCATTGATGGTTGATGTTTGAAAGCCATGTCATTTAAGACAACTCTAACCGTGTGGACTGTTATTGAATGTTTTTCCATCAACGTTGAAGAGACATTACTTCGATATGCGAGAACTACTACGCATGATGAATGGCACCGTATCAAGAACAATCGAAACGGGTTTTTCCTGGGGGTCTGAAGCTTGTCTGTTTGTTTGTTTGTTTGTTTGTTTGATTGTTGAGTGTTTTAACTGGAAGGAGCGATACTTAATAAGTCCTGGGAAATATTTTTTGAAGGAAGAGTCTTTATGTTTTTCTTTTGCTTCTCTATTTGGCTGCATAGGTAGTGAACGAGTAATTCAGGCTACACCTCTTAACTTGGAGATGGTTACATTGGAAACGTGTGATATAATGACATATGGAAATGTGGTTTTAAACAGAAGCGAGTGTTAAGACTATTATCCTTTATAAATTGTCTAAGCGTTCGTCGTTTATCAATTCCCTAAGGATGTGTCATGCATTCGATTCCATTTGTAGTATCATGAATGTGGTTAGATAAATGTTTGGTTGTAACAATGACTTGAGGTGGCCAACCGATGTGCCAAGTCAGTGGTCGTATTCTTTCAGACAAGTGTGGTACGAATTTGCAAACCCTTGAGGAATGAGTTTACTGTTTGTCCGTATCGTGTAATCAACCAATGGCGATATGTGTATTATAGAGCGCCACTAACCATTGCGCCACATGCAGTGTTACATAGTAGCTATGGAAGAAATACAATATTGCAGGAATTTTATTTACTCGTTGTTACATGAATGAACGCCACATCATATTGTGCGGGTCCCAGCACTTCTTGAACTTCATTGCTTTCCTCATATTCATCCTCCACCAGGGTCTTTGAACTTTTTTTTGCGTGTGGGTTCGGCTGCTACTTCGTTTTTTCGTCTTCGTCACGACATCGTTGATTCTATTCGAGTCGGTTTTTCCTGAATTCCTGAGATAGACGTGTTAAGACGCTCCCACGTGGATTAGCAGGAGTCAGCTAATCCAAAACAAGTCTAGTTCGAATTTCCTGACCGCAGAGGAATTAGAGGCTCGTTGGACCCGAAGCGGGTATGAATTTCAAGGATAAAACTTGTATAATGTTGAGAAATGGAATCGGTTGTGTGGCAAATCCCTTAGGAGGTCGTCAACGCTGGAAGTTTTTACCTTTTTTGTTGTATAATATCAAAGGAATATCCACGAACTCTCTTGTCCTAAACATTCCTGGAAAAACTTTATGCGTATTAAAACGTTAGGCTTTAATAGTGAACACAGCTAATTTACTACACTAACTTTTCTCTGAAGCTTTTTTTCTACGTCTCAGGATGCTTGAGGAAAATCTGATTTCCTTAACAGTTTTCCTTATAGATAGGTGATATCTTCTCCATTTTGTATTGGTTAAAATGGTTCTATATTGATCTATCTGTAATGAATAAGACAAAGGGATGAAAGTACGAAAAGTGTGCACCAGATATGAGAAGAATCGTCAAGTGGAAAAGAACAGGTCGTGAAACATGAAAGGAAAGTTCACGTCTTTGATGTGATTGAAGAGGTAACATTGTGATTCATTGGAAACGAAATGCGTATTCAAATGACTTTATTAGGTTAGTAAGCTCTCTGATGGGCTAAGAATTGTGTCGTTTCTCGAAAGTAGAATAGTTATGTTTTCCAACAAAACCCTCAATGTTTCCGCTATGAAAGTGAAGAATTTGAATTAAACCTAGCAGAAATAGTTCTGAAAACTATGCAATCCATAGAACGATAAAGTGAAGGATCGAAAGATGTTGCTCCAAACTGCCGGAAATGGCATCTCGATTTTTAATGGGTAGAAATCTTTAATACTTTTTGGAGCAGCCTCTACTAAGCGTAGGCGATAATTCTCAATGCTATCTATGAAGTTATATCTTTTTTATCTTCTGCCTACTATAATTTCGCGGCAGGGTACTAAGCGAAATACAACCACAACGTTGCTGAGATATTTGCAAAACTCTGGACCGCATGTGTCTATGGTGAAGAACGAACGCGCTATTGTCATTTCCGGGGAGTAACGCGTTCACCACCGCACTGTGCTGGTTCTTTGTTTCGCCTGTCTCTCAGCTATCCATAAATATCGGTGAGAAGCACCATGTTTTCCTGATGGACGAAATCACAATGAACCATAGCGGTGTAAGCTAGAAAGTATTCGTTGTTTTCGCATAAATGCATTGGAATTAGTGCATATCGGACGCTATATACTAATATGCATTCCGGGAACAGAAAAACATCTAATCATGTTTGGTAAATTCACTAAAAATAAATAAGAATGACAGTACTATTAGTATTTAGCATTAGATTCTGGGAGGTTATTACTCTGTCAACAGTCCTGAATTTGGGGAATGTGTGCTAGAACTCTAGGCTCAGTAACTGTTGTCCTCAATCTCTTATACTCTGCGTTACTCTTTGTTATTCTAATAAGTTATTCCAACCAAGTTCCATAAGGATGCTTCTTCCTGATCTACTTACTATGAAGAATCGTTATGATGTGTTAAATAGGAAATTTTAAAAGTTACGCATCCAGCAAGTCGTACAGTCTGTGTTTTTCATACTCTTTCCACCGTCCTTTTTGACGCGATCATAATCACATTTTTTTCAAAATCTATTTAGCGACCTACGGCCGTAATTAGTAGTCGTGGCGTGCACAACCATAGCCTCTATCAGCGGGAGGAGTTAATGTGTCCTTGTGCGTCGTCATATCGTCACAGTTGATGAACTGCGTTCTACTGCGCAAAACTTGCGTGCGTTTATTACAGTTCACTTAGCGATGTCTGCGACTCTGCATGGATGGTGGACTCCTTTCCGATTTCTGGTGGTGCAATTCTTCCATTTCTAGTTGACTTGTTCGGTGGGTGCCGCCGCCTCTTGGTCTTTCGACGTCACGAAACCGTGTTCGCGCGGTTGCTTCGCTATCTCTTTTCCTTCTGTTCCCTTCTTCTTCTCCTTCTTCTTCTTCTTCTTCCCCTTCAAAAGCTGCAACACTATTTTTAGATCTACTACGGTTTTCTATTCGTAGTTGATCGATGAAGTAAAACCAGTTAGAACAATGTTTATCGTGCTTGACACTCAAAATGAATACATGGTAGTTCTAATACGGAGATTAATTACTTATCAGTCATTCTCAGCAATTGATTGAATGCACGAGGCGGTCCAGAACTATACACGAATTAGAATAGAAATAACCTAATCTTGTTGTTTATATCTCTTTGACTGCTGCAAATGACGTTAAAATGATAATCGATTTGATGTTAAACGAACTACTGTTATTCGTTATTGTAGCTGACTATAATTCGAAAGGTTGTATGCAATGGAACAAACACAGGCAACGACGAGAAATTGCGCTTCGCAGCATGGGTCTTCGTTTACCACTTTCACAAGAACGTTGTCTCTAATAAGGAATTAGCATGTTGAATGATGACACATAGTGAATTGAGGTAAATCACAGTGATATCGATTGCCGAGCATTGGAGTGATAGAGGGAAATTTAAAGCTGCTTATACTTCAGGAGTATAATTGACGAAATTTCCAAGAAGTAATTGCGCACTACTGCAGCAGCTAAGGTGCTTGAGAACCCTGGTGTTTGTGGGTTTTGTAGAGCTTTATGGTCTTTACATTGTTGTACTCGTGTGGATAACACGTCTACAACTGAAGAAAACCAACTAAAGAAAGAGAGTACAGTGGATTTTTAAGTAGCTGCTAAACATGCTAAGAGGACGAATGATCGTTTCGAGGTCGTAACTCATAAGTGCAGTCGATATTTTCCAGTTTCCTCACGTGGTAGATTCACTCAGGTGATTTTTTTTTGTTATGCCCCTACCTATCACTTGTTTGATCAGAACTTATAACAGACTGGTTCCAGAAATGTGATATCATCACTGGATCTTTTCGCAAATTTCATTTTCATTAGTTAGTTGAATGCTTGGATGACTCGTACTCATGAGTTGTGGTGTTGTATGTGAAAGTTTTCTGAAAGTCGCAGCTTTTTGAGTTAACCATATTCGATATACCTAAGTCGTTCCATGTTACGGATAATCGTCCATTTACGTATCCGATAATAGGGTTTGCTAACTTTCTATTTTTTTTTTATAAGGACAGCGATTCCTGGAATGAGTGAGTTCTTTAATGGGATTCCCAATGAAATTCTAGAAGTACCGTGAATTGATGCCCTCTTCTAGGTGATGATTTTAAAATTTTTGCAAAAAAATCGCACCTGTACATTTACGGATTTCTCATTCACCAGGATGAATCGGTAAACTTTATAAGATATGATTGTGATTAGTGTGTAAGATTAGTTAACAAAGCAGGAAATGATCTAAGCTTGTACATCGAGATGGGAAATATTATGAATAGTTGAAAAAGAAAGAAATTACTGGGGGTTTGCTTCCTGTAATTAGTTTTCTGTCCTCTAAGATTCAAGTATAAAGTGTGATCCTATGTTAATTCACAGAACATGTTTTTATTGGACGGAAGTATAGAAAGAAGAAGGAAGGGTGATAGAAGGCGGTGTGGAAATAATTTTGTATTGGAAAATAAATAGAAAATGATTTAAGAAAAGCGATTCAAAAAGCAATCAATCTTGAAGATCTATGTAAAATTATTTAGAAACATGTTTATACTTATTTTAGGAGATGAATAACGTGTTCGCCGTTTACGGTATCGAAGTGTCGAGGAGACATCTCTCACTCACTGCAGACTACATGACATTCACTGGCCAAATCGCTCCTTTCAGTCGTGGCGCTATGTCTTCATCATCATCGCCGCTGCAAAAGATGACGTTCGAAACAACGATGGCGTTTATGAAGGAAGCACTTTTATACGGTTAGTGCTGCTACCTGTTTGTTTCAGATATTGGGCTTACAACAGAATTTGTCCTGCGTGGGCTTGGCTTCTTCCACTTTTGTTTATATCGATGTGGAATGTATTTTTTAAATTCGGTTTTCGATTTCTTGATTTCATTTGGAAGCGTTAATCTGCTGCTTAATTAATGCTTTTTCCAACACCGATCCTAGTTTAATCTAGCCGTGAGTGATCAATATTTTCTTGCATTTATAAGCTAACGCAAGTTTGGTAAAAAAAAATTTTATTAAGATAACTTTTCGACACCCTTGCCTTCGCCAGAACCACAGTTATTCCAGTCGAGTGTCTACACTCGGTCGTTCTCGCAATGTGCTTCCTGGTAGTCGTCCCATAAGGTAGAATTCATTGGAGTAGAGCGCTGACCGAAGCCGATTAGAATTTTTTGCCAGTTCCATGTTAGGTTAATAATCAGGGAATATATTTTTTTTCTCGATAGTTTTGAATAGGGTGGATAACGCAGTGGTAGTGATGCCAGTCACCATGACACGGTGTTGCTTCGATCGCGCTCAAGCTCACAAAGCCTATCATCCCTTCTGCGACGGGAAATTAGTACCAGACTTATCTGCGAAAACTTCATTCTGTGGAACGAAAGTGGGAGCACTCCAGCTCGGTTGCCTCAGAACTCCAGGGAGAATCGCTCATCCAGTATTCAACGATATTCATCACGAAGAGAAAAATCGGAAAGCAATAGCGGAAGCCACATGCAGAAACTTGAAAGGTCTTCGTGGATGGTGATTGCAAGGAAACGAATCGAGTGCACGAAGTGCTGGGATCCGCACAGTAGATGTGAATGACGGGTTGTGTGAATAAATAAAATAGTTTCGAATGAAAAATTTTTTACCTTTTCGTACCCCATCTGTCTCATGGCTTTCAACGGCCGTTAGTGCATTACAGTCTGGTGGGTTGCGTACAGAAATGGCGTTGGGTGGTTTTGATCGTTGTTTATTCATTTTGTTAAACTCCAAGGGCTTGTTGGTGATGGTGTCCTTAGTCAGCTTGTCTCCTTTATCAGGAACATGAGAGCATGGACACTAAGTTCATTTCCAATTAGTGTCTTTACCAAAAACAAACTTGAATTTGTTATTAGCAGTTGTTTCTAAATTTGTTTCAAGTTTCGAACACAACTAACACATTTGCGACGACATGCATTGCTTTCAATGCGAAAAATGCGTGATCAACAATTTAACTGAAATATAGTGCTGAACATCTTAAAGGCATATGGAACATTCATCTAGTTCGCGAATAACACATTAACCTTCTTCTCCTCCAAATCCTTTGCTGCCATCGTATTTGTGGTCGGTGCAGATAATGTAGTGTGGCGCAATGGTCGCAGGCGCCCTGCAATACGTGGAATCAATCACCGCGGCGATGGCCCACCAAGCCTTTCATCCTTCCGGTGTCGGCAAATTGGCACCAGACTTGTCTGGGAGGATAGCAGCACTGGCTGGATACATCGGTAGCCTACCGCGACTCATTCTAAAGGCCAGATATGCATTAAATCACGTCCAACGATCCTTAGTGATGTTGGATGCATGGCGCATTTTTCAGGGATTGATCAAAGCCGAGAGTTTTATCCTTTTTATCCTTCATTTTTTAGATCAATCTCTTTGTAGTTTAACATTTCAGTGGCACTCGATTTATCACGGACCAAACACATTTTGTTAGTTTTGAAGAGATGTTCTAGGCACTCCCGCCGTGAAAAAATCTGCGAAAAGCTACTAAAAGACCTTTTGTGTCATCGCTGAAGAATCTAAAGCTTTCATGGAGTAAATATTTGACTAGATTCAAACATAGGTTTCAGCTTTTCATTACGACTGTTTGCAGTGAAATATGGAATAGATTCATTAGACTTTTTTTTAAATAACAGGAAGTGGTTTATGGGAATATAGAGTTTTGAACACCGAAAACAGAAGTCATGTTTCCCAGTGCTAGTTCTTTTTTTCCTTATCGATTTGGTGAAGCTCTTTCAGAGTCCTGTCTATTCAAATGAATATATGACAGATTTAACAAATAGTCTCATTTGTGGTGAAAACGAAATGTCAATAATCAATCACTAATGATATTTTTTTTCCAATACTTTGTAATGTTACTGGCTGAAAAGTAGAGAAGATTGTAAAGGGCAGTTCAGGCGACTTTTAGTAAGTTATCGGCCGGCGCTTGCTGAGATCCTTCAGCGCGCTTTTCTTTAAAAAGCAAAGAGATATTTTGTGGTGTTTGAGGTGGGAGACATTAGCTTTTATGTGTATTCCAAAGTGTCTAACCATCCAATCTGCAAAATATGTAAGTATAAAAGTTATAACCATCATTTTTCCTTGTAAAAAGGTGTTCCTACGTGAGATTCCGAACGAATTACTGTCGATGATTGATGTCGATCTCAGTGTTTCATCTCCATTCATTCGTCCATTTCTTCATTTTAAGTGATTTTTGTGTTTCAAAAATATCTGCTTTCCACTGATTTACTTGCGTGATTTTTGCCACTCATTCCTTTTTTGAAGGATACAGAGAGAACTGAAATAACTCTTAGTGTTCACGACGAGAGAAAACGTCCAGTATAGGTCAGCATGGCATAATAATCAACAGATTCTAGGACGTCTTCAATAATGTTGACGTGAAAGCCTGAAAATGTCATAATCGTGTTATGACTACGGCTTGGATTAGTCCGTAAGTGTACGTATTAATGATGATGCCTTTTAATGACGTTTATGTTTTCGTAGTTTTGGTTATCGAACTAGATAAAACAATACATCAAATATGTTCAACAAAACTTTTTAAAAATTTTCGGTACGTACTCCAAGTCTTATTGTTCATGTCGATCAGCAACAACGTAATTCGGCAGTTCATCGAATGTATTTGTTTCGCTTCCTACCTATAAAGTTCGTTGTTTGACTGAAAAACGTCGGCAAGCACGAAAGGCGATGTCACTTGTGGAAGGATAATGTTTAAAAAAAAATGGAAACTATCTTTGCCCGAAATAGGAAACCGTATTTTTTCGTGCTAGACGACTATCAACATCAATTTCTCGAAACTAAGCTATTGGGCGTTGAGTCGTTCAGGCTCTGATGGATATTTCTTTGTATAGCTATAATTTTAACTAGTTTTATTTTTGCAAACACAGGTGTTCAATCATACCTGTGTGCTTGCACTTGAATTGGAACTTCCACTTCTTTTCTGTTTTTCTATTAGTAAAACTTCTAACACCGAAAAAGGCTACTGTTAAAGCAGATCTCTAGTTATCAGTTATTAGTAGGAAGAAGTGACGAGTGCGTTCAGTGGGAGTTGGTTTTTGTGTTTTATGACAGTGTTGCCAGAGATAGCATATCAATAGTGGTTGTGAATTATCGTTGGAAACTTTTGGTCATTTATTGGAGCACGTGGTGATTAAAATTGGCGAATATGGTGCAAAATAGTCGAGTAATCGTTCCGGTAATATTTAACGTTTGCCAGACGTCATTCGAACTATGTTCGTTCTTGATTGATTTCCTTCATTTTCGATGCACACAAGTGCATTATGCTGACCCATAGCCATTTCACCTTCTGGTTTGCTTTATTCTTTATATTTAGTATTAGAAGAAAAAAATGTCCGTAATAAGGCTTTTCTTCTTTGACGACTCACTTTCTGTTCTCTTTTTGAATCGGTTTTTGTTTGCTTTGTCGGCTTTTTTCTCTTCCTCCACTTCTGAAGCACGAATAAATTGATGTTGGTTATACAAGAGATTTATGATTTTTTTCTATTTTGCAAACTACTAGTTTGCAATTTATTACGCTAAACAGTGGAGATATTTCCAGTCCGGTGTTTCGCTACGAACTTTTCGCTAATGGGGGCAAAGTACGTTTCATAGACGTAAATATACGCCTCATATTTCTGACAACGTGTAACGGTAACTCTGTGTACGACATCATTTCTGAGTTCACCTAGTAATAATGAAGTTGAAGCAATTCTCTTATCCATTAATCTGTTTTTAGGTGAAGAGGACACACTGAGTTCGCCGTCAGCTCGCCTTGTTATGGGATCGCTTTCCAGAGGTGGAACCGGTGCGTTCGATTTACTTGTGACTCCTGAATACGCTGCATAGATCGATTGATTGATCGTTTCTTGGAATCTTTTGGAGCGACATTGTTGTTAGACTTGTTCGGCATTATGCTTTTCGATTGCTGTTGAACGTTAAAGTGATTGGTGAAATTCTGACGACCCATTGTTCGATTGGACGGTGTTGACCAACCGTTGTGACGAGCACCATTATACGAGTGTTTTCCATTTTGGTTAACGTTGTTATAGTTTATTGGAATTTGTTGAAGCACGGAAATTCTTTGTACTAACTGTTGTAGTGACTATTGGAAGAAGCCCCACATCGTTGTCTTCACATAGCTCATTAGTGGCACTAATTTTAAATGGGCGAATTTTTGTGGTTGTTCTTTTTGTTGGTTTATTTCCGATACTGTCTTTTTTCTGTTCATTTATTGGATTCTTTGTTAGTTTGTTGTGCTTTTTTGTTGTTGGAAACAAAAAATCATGAGGTAGAAGTGCTTGAAGCGACAGTGCATTTTTATTAATGGGTCGCCATGGATAAACACATCCACAACGGTGCACTTGTGTCAGAATAACGCTCAGTATAAAGTAAAGCTCATGTCACAAGAAGAAATCAATGTCCTATGAAAGCATAGAGGGAGGAAGAACAACAAATATATCCATGATTTAGTTTGTCTGGCTTCTTCCAGACTAGTATGTGGGTAGTGTAGTTGACCCATATTGTTGAGTTGTATTGAAAACGTGGGTTCACTTTGTTCTGCATTAATATGCAGAACGCGTCGAGATCATCAACAATTAGCGTCTAGAAGTTCAGTGTTGTGCGGGGACACTGAAAACATAGTCCGATTAGTCTATCGCAGAAATCGTCTCACAATGAATCTAGTTGAAATGAACAGTAAGAGAAGAACGGATAGTAGAAGAGTATACTTGGTTTCTGAGATCAGGCATTAAATTATCGGCTGAATCACACACCTGCATGGATGTTGTCGTTGGCTCGTCAGTGTTATGCTTAGGAGACGTCGTGGTTCACGATAAGTGAATTCGATCGTGTCACGTGTCGGATGAATAATACTAATCATGGCGGGCAGATGTACGTAACGAATTTCAGAAGTATTCTAGAGCTTCCAGTAGATCAGCACCGTCGTCAAGTCGGCTTTTATAAGCAGCAGTCACTGTGACTCCGCCCATTGGCGAACGTTAACCTCCACATTTGGCCGATGACGCTGTAGACCAGCTGGGCCTCGTGCCAAGCTCCTCCCACAGTCGGTTACAGTAGCCGGGCACCGACCGAAGCCGTAACGTTGATGGTGTACGGTAGACGGTTAGGTGAAACCGAACAGCTTCCGACTTTAGCTGTGTCGAGGTGAACTATGTGAATCGCTGTAAACTATAAAACATACGTTCGGAAGTGTTCCTTAAAGTATCTGTGCTTTATGGTTTTGTTCCTCATTCGCCTGCACGTTTCCTGTACTTTCTGTCGTGCCTTTAACTGCACTTCGTTGAAGGTCTATAATGATTATTAATGATATTGCTGTTATAGTACAAACCAATTCAAGTCTTATTCTTCAGCAGCGCTGAAAACTCATAACTTTATAAAATTTAAAAATTCATAAAAGGATGTGTTGATGGCTTTGATGACTATAGAGTTATTGCGCGAGCATATTTTTTCCCTTCTTAAATTGATAACTCTGCTAGCTTAGTAGTGACGCTAGAAGAGATCTTATTCATTTCTGAATCAAACGCCTATATAATGTCTACCTTACTAACTACCACAGAGTTATGATTTCCTACGGTTTTCCTCTAGCTCTAACATGGTTTCCTTTCTTCTCTAAGTATACGGCCTATGGTAGAGACCGAATTAGTCTTCCGACGTCTGGAATTTTTTCTGTTTTATCTATGTTGCATTCATTTGACTATAAATGATGTGTCCATCGTACGCACAGAGAAAGACTTACCTAAGGTGTGTCGGTAAGGTTATCAGCACTCCATCGCCTGGTTTCCGTGTATTTCTGATGTCTCAGATTTATCTTAGCTCAGCATTTTAATGGATCCCTCTTCATAAATTGAATAATTGTGTGCCACAAAATTGATCGATTTTTCATTCAACGGACTCCTCCAGTTTGTTTCTCGCTGACTCCAGCTTGCAATTTGTTAGCTTATTATGCTATTTTTATGCAGCATTTTCTTAGAAAGACGCAATAAAAAAGTTTCTACCATTCCTTTCAGTAGTTTTTTGTTTCCTTCTAACATTTTAACAGGATTATTCGACTTCTACCGTACAAGTGCTTTTGTAGCGGACAGTCTTTTCTATAACAGGCCGAGTAAAATTCTAAAAGCATGCCATTTACATGTAACCTTTTGCTCTCAAAACTTTTATTTCGATGATTTCATTTTGTAAACATGGTAACTCCTTAATACCATGTGCTGTTGAACTGGTTTAGAGTTTGGTAGACTTACAGAAAGGAGATCATTTTTATCTATTTGAAAGTAAATATGTTTTTTCAAGAGTACTAGTTTATTTATAAAGCCACTTTGGCAGGTTGAAACTTGCGAAAAATACAAAAGAGGACTTGGGTTTTGAAAAAAATCATGATGAAGCGTTACAGCTTCAACCATCGAGTGCATTTGGGAGCATCAGCACATTTTGACGAGAGAAATCTCGCTCCTCTAAAAGGAGCCTTGTAAAACAGGAAGAAAATATTTTGACGAGTTTGGCAGGCTAGAACTTTGTCTGTATAGAACAAAATATATTATATGTTATATGCAAAAATGAGCAGTTTTTAGCGCCTTGTACGTCGATTAATAAAACTCCCTGCTATGTTGCTTTAAAGTTGAAAGCATCCATAGTTTTCGCTCCGAATGCATTGAAATCGATGCAAATTGATCGCTATATGTTGAGATACTATTTTTCCATGTATTTAGTATTACGCCACTATAACTAAATGCGCGTGTGGCCCAGTGTTCGGAGGCGCCCTGCAACACACACGTGGAATCGACCTCCGCGCCCATGGCCCACCAAGCCTTCCACCCCTCCGCGGTCGGCAAATTGCTACCAGACTTGTCTGGGAGGAGAGCAGCACTGGCTCGATACATCGGCAGACCACGGCGGGTCATTGTAAAGGCCAGATATACATTTAATCACCTCTAAACTATGCTTAATGAGGTTGAATTAATGGCGCATCCCTCAGAAATTGATCAACGCCGAGAGAGAGCTTTATCCCTTATTTTCATAACTAAGCGCTGAGGCTAATTTGGACTTGCGTGATTTGTTAAAATAATGGCTAGAAGAAAGTGGCAGTAATAACATAGGTAGCAAATGAAACACAACCATAGAAATCAAACAACGACATTTTCAAACTGAACATAGTTCTCTTCATAACTTCAAAACTTCAAATTCATCCATTGCATGTCATTTGACTACCATTATCGCCGCCGCTAATAGCGTTCAGTATGTTTTTCTGGAACACTCTGTCTTATTTTTCCGTGAGCATCTGTTTATAGATCTATCCGTTTCATAAATACTTATGCTCTCATATATACTTTCGTACTTATGTGTGTATTGGATCCATCCGATCCTCTCCACCGATCTCCCTCGCAGAGAGACCTCGTCGCGGCTAGTCGCCAGGCAAGATGGTGCGTCCCCTAGAAGCGGATAGCGGGTTAATCGCGGACCGAAAGTGACCTTTGTTTTCCTGAGAGACAGATTGATACAGGAGATGGGCTCCTAGTTTCTGGTACCTTATTTGGCACATGCTTTCTCTCATATATGGAGACGTATTCATGCATGCGTTCGTGGATGTGTTTTCGCTTCTGCGGATTGTATTCTACGAGCCAATTCGGTAAAAATCCTGCAATCAAATGACAGGGAAGTATATGAGAGGCAGTTAGGAAACGCCTCCAACGAATAAGCTCTATGTCCACTCTGGGTGAGCCTAGCAAGCTATCCGTGGGTGTATCTAGCTCAATGCTCAGACCTGAACAAGCTATACGTGGGAATCAAAAGGCTAAACACGGTAAAAAAGAGACGGGCCTCATTTCGCTGACCCTGAAAGAGCCTCCGATACGACAGCGTTGTAGGACAAGTACGGCGAGGCTGCTGAAATCTCAGAGCCATTCTGGGTTGCCTAAATCGCAAAGAATAAGGTGGTAATCTGTATCTACAATGCACCCGCATTTACATCTGAGTCATCTATGGAGGACTTGATCATGCTCGTAGGAAGGATAGGGTACAAAGTGGTCAGAGTGTCTAAGGCGAGAATATGCCATTCAACGCCTTCTATGAAAAAGAACAAGAAAAATACTGAGTGGAAAAGAATGAGGAAAGAATGGTCAGAGTTTCTCAAGAAAAATCCTAGAAGAGTGACATGATGTTCAAAGAGTCCCTAATGTGAGCAAAATTCACTGGGTTGGTCTTGCAAGCCACAGGAAGAGATGAAACGTTTACTGGCATTCGCTTGAGTCACTCGATGGTCAACCAGAATACAGGTGACAGGTGAAAGGTGGAATAGGGGTCATAAAAATTTTGCGGCTGTGTCCAAAAAATTTAAAAAGTGACGTTTTTAATATGGTTTAAAGAGTTCGTGACGTTGATCTAAAAAACAGTGGACCATCGGCGATCAACGGCACAGCCGATTGTAACGGCACCTAATCTTCAGTCCTCATAAAGCTTTTGGTTTTTTGAAAAGGAACGATAATTTTCCGACAGCAAGAGGATTTAACGAGATGTGAAGAGGGCAGCGTTGTAGAAGACTTTGCTCTGTCGCTGAATAGGTGTAAGTTGTGTGCATGCTACTAGTTGCTATAAATTACTGTGATCCGCCACAAAAAATGTTGCTGGCATTTGTGTTCTGTCGTTTATGTGGAGTCTATCCCTGTGTTTTTAATGCCTACGCGTTCCATGCGATAACTATACTCTACTGCGTATTCTCGTGCATATGCAAGTACCATAGTTAAGTGCGTACGCTGTTTTTTCGTAAAATAAGTCATTCCCAAAGTCATATATGTGTACAAGAATGGTGCGACACTCTATTCATCTGAAACTATAGAAATTGCGCATGGTAGGTAGCATATGTAAACCCATCCATAATACAACTCCTCGATCAAATAATACATATATGTATGCATGTATAGCTCCCGAGATCGACTTTCCACTAACCTCGGCATTGGATTATAAATGTGTCGTTTTCTTTTTATTTCAGCAATCGTGAGGTTGTTATTCAACACACGTTTACTTCCATACAAATAGAATACATGCAACACAACGGCAGCTGACGTTTCTGCAGTATCGCCTTCCGTGTGATGAATAACAACCTCGCGATTGCCGAAAAGGAAAGCGACACATTTATGCATATAAACGTATGCATATATTTGCGATGATGACAGAGTAATCAAAAGACTATAATTCATCTCCTCCCACGGGATTTCAAACACAAGTGCATAAGCTGTTATGTAGGAAGAGCTCTATCCTCGTACCGGTTACGGATGTGCCGTCTCCTGGACAATACAGAGCATTTCAACCTGACAAATAGAAAGCTTGTGGTACTGAAAACATAACAGAGAGAACATGACAAGACTACAGAAGAGACTATTACTCCAAGGGTGTGCATGATGTGTACGCCACTACCAACAGTAAGCTATCGTCGTACATAATGTAAACACATTCCTATCGGCATGTGAAAGTGTTTTGCTATTTATGCTGTACCATTCTCGGTATTTTTTACACTAGCACATTCCATACAATAGCCATAGTTTATAATAATGAAGTAACAATTGGTTGTTAATTAATCTGTGTGTCGAAGGGCTTGTCCGTGAAATGGTTTCCTTTGAAGCATTGAGGGCAGAGACGGCTTTTCCGGTTCAGTCGATTCTACACTGTGCTGCTTTCAGTGTGTCATCGAATGACTGAAAAAAGCGTTATCAGAAATAGTTCTGTATAGCAAAATAAACCATCAGAAAAAGAATGACCTATACAGAGATGATGTATGGACGTATACGTCAACGTTGCCCGTTGCGAGTTAAGCACCGTGGTGGGCTACAGCAAAACAAGTGTGCCAAAAGTCTTTTCTTCCAGAAACCGCCAACGTAGTTTTTCATCATGGAACCCACTGTTATTAGCTTTAGTAAGCTCTTCTTGGTTAAAAGGTATCACTTTTTTATTAGGAAAATCGGATTCGTTTTTAACTGCTGTGTTCTTCTGAAACACTTTTACAACCCAATTTCCATTCATTAGTGTCACAAATTTCATCAGCAATTTTCATTCACCTTTCTTTCATTTTACAGGCATTTCCTGTCACAAATTTTCTTGCTTACCGTTCTAAACAATTTCCCAACCTACGAGGATTTCGAGAAGTGTTGAAATCATCACGTAATTTCCCATTTTTCCGTTTTGGATTCTTCAGCCGTTGAAGTTGTTGGTGGATTATGACAACCCGTGCATCGCTGACTCTGCGTAATTGCGGACTCAATAATTACGAGCTCGGAGGGTGAGATTAACCGTAGTCAGAAATGACATATGATGTCAGTTATTTATGTCTATTACTTGAACATTGATACAGAATTGTTTTAGATGCCTTATTATTTGTAAAGGCTTATGTAGCGGTGTAGTTAGAGGTGCCATACTATACAGAACTAGTCAATCGTTGTTGGGTCGACCTAGCTCCGCTTCGTAACCATACCCTCCTATAACGCCTTGTTGAGAAGTTGGTACGTGACTTATCTATGAGAAAAAAGTAGCATTAAGTTGACCACATCTGTAGGTTAAATAATGTCGTTCTAGAGCGCCAAATATGATATAACCTTCACGATACGAATGAATTCGAATGCACGGCGCGTTCCTCAAAATGTTGTCAACGGCGATTGATTTTCATTTTTCATTAATTCGAATTATTTTTAGAACTCTTCTATTTTTTTGGTGGTATTTATGTTGCTGTTTTATGAAAGAAAAAATTTACTTCCATAGAAAAACACAATACAATACAACACTAGCTAACGTTTCGGTAGTATCGCCTTCTTCAGAGCCGCTTTTTCGTGACTTCCAGTGGGGAAGTTTAGAACAGCTGATTAATCAGCTATGGAAGTAAATGTATGCTGTTTGAAAACATCGCGATTGCTGAACAAGAAAACGACGCATTCATATTCCAATGCCGAGGTTAATAGAAAGTCGATCCTGGGATCTATTAAAAGAAAAAATTCATTTCTTAGAGCATTCGTTCGGAAACATACTTTCCTTCGAACTGGATGGCTGAAAAATACCTTGCGGCTTCTTTTGTCGTGTAGGATTTTATCACCTCATTTCAAACGGTAGATATGAATGGCATTTGCTTGAAAAACCATGGAGCTCTCTCTTTAAACCAAATCTCCACTGCTTGTAGTAAAATTGAATTGTTCATTGCAACAATTGCATGTTATGTGTAGTGTTTCGCCAATGTATCTTGGTATCACAGACATAACTGGAAGCGCATTTTGCGAAAATAATGATTTTTAGGGGACTACCGATGAATTAAGTCAGTGTTATTACCCCCTTTCCTCAGCTGCGTTAAGTCCGCCTAACTTATACAGTAGTTAAAAAGTGTTATAGTTGCCAATAATACATAATAGACTACACAGCAGAAATTCTTCTGTTTAGATTCAGAATTCATGCAAAGTGTTATCCATGTATAACACCAAAAAGTGAAAAAGAATAAAGGAAGCGAACAATGACGTGATGAAGTACTTGGCATCACAGCAAAACTAAACAAAACATAACGTTATACCTTTTTATTTTCTGCTTACTATAATTTCGCGGCAGGGTACTAAGCGAAATACAACCACACCGTTGCTGAGATATTTGCAAAACTCTGGACCGCAGGTGTCTATGGTGGGGAACGAACGCGCTATTGTCCTTTCCGGGGAGTAACGCGTTCACCACCACACCAAAACATAAATCAATGCTGAGGTTAATAGAAAGGCTGTCTTAGGAATAAACAAAAAAAGTTGACATAATTCATAAGACTAGACTAGCGGACATCAATGAATAAATAAGAGAGAAACTCATCAGCATAAAAGTGATGCAAGTAATGAACTAAAAAAGTTCAGAAACGAAGAAATGAACCATTGTTAAGAAATTAATTCCTAATAAGCAAGGCTTTACCGAAGTTAGCAATAGCTTAGATGTTAGAGCCCACTCTAGAACACTCCACTGTGCTAAAACTGTTCCGAATTTCAAACCTATGTGAGGGTTCATTTCTTCTAATAAGAACCGCAATTTAACCTTAAACAAACTCGATCACAGTAGTACATGCAATGCCTCGAACGTTTCTAAATCATGAGACTAAAGAAATTGTTGAAGACAACCTAAAATTCATTTAAGAAAAAAAAACGTTGTCGAAAAATTTCAAAACTATTTTTTATTATTTAACGTTTTGTTTTCTGCCTTCTATAATTTTCATGGCAGGTTACTAAGCGAAATACAACCACAACGTTGCTGAGATATTTGCAAAACTCTGGACCGCAGGTGTCTATGGTGGGGAACGAACGCGCTATTATCCTTTCCGGGGAGTAACGCGTTCACCACCATACCATGCGGGTCCTTTGTTTCGCACGTCTCTCAGCTATTTCTATCCATCTTTTTGCCACAGCAATCACCCGTCAGCGGGGTTGATCTGGAGAGCGTAAATGGGCATAGAACCCAGTTAAGCTATGGCTGTAGTTGAAGGCTCCCCGGAAAGGATAATAGCGCGTTCGTTCCCCACCATAGACACCTGCGGTCTAGAGTTTTGCAAATATCTCAGCAACGTTGCGGTTGTATTTTTTAATAGCTTAAGATAAAGTTGAGGAGCTTTTTTACTTCACACAAAATCCTCCTTAAGCGACCTCGCAGAGAACTCAGGATTATCGCCACGCCGATGCTTTGAAGAGCGTTTATTTGTGGTTTTTCATTCTCGTCCTAGTTAATGACTCCCTGCACGGAACTCTAAAGTGGTGATTTTTCTCAGTTGGTGTTTTAACGGAAAATTGTAATCTTTGTGTTTTCGTCTAAATAGTGGACAATGTATCGGCATAGTATAGGATTTTGTTTAAAGGGACTATTTTTTTAGTAAATTTGACAATTTAAGTCACCTAATCAACAAACCAAATAATCATGTCCTATTGTGGAAATGCAGTACTTTTATTATCTGCAAAGCATTTTCAAAGAACTTGTCCATTCTCTTAATAACCATGCATTGAAAGCCTTCTGCAACTTTATTTTAAAGAAGTTTGTACAGCAATAGCTCCGTAGACTTTTGAATGAAAAAGAATACAAACTATCACTTATAGGTGTATAATGGATTATATGGAAGGGATTTCTTCCTGTCATTTAATATGTAGCACCAACCCGGATGGATGGTGTTGAAAACGATGTATGACTGCAGAAAACGAGCCCAGAAAGTAATGTATCAGTGGATGAAAAGCTCAGTTTACGAATATTGTGACATCATGAGCACTAGGTGACAATAGGAATGAAAACAGGATTCCTTACAAACGCTGGTATGATATCGGATGGAAGTCCTCCTATTTTATTCTCTGCCTTCCTGTTTTGCGTCCAAATATCCGGCCAGCATATTCTCGTTGATTATGTGAAGCAATGTTTGCCACGCTTGAAGTTCTGCACGTGGTGTTCCACCACGATTTTCGAGTTCCTCGAGCATCGTCGAACAGAACACGTCCCAATAGACCAGCTGAAAACATTGCTGTAGAAAACAAAGCACTGAAAAAAAGCAGTTGTTTCGAGGCATCCCGAAAGAACGCCTTCAATACAATCATTGTTTGAAAAATCTAAACATATTCCTTGTATATCAAGCCGCAGTTGCCATACCAACATGAGAGAGCGGTGGACTTAGTTCTCAGCATCGACCTTCTGTTAACCTCAGCACTAGGCTACAAATTCGTCGTTTTCTTTCTCATCATTCGCGAGGTTGTTATACAGCATGTGTTTACTTCCTTACAAAAACACGTAAAAGGCAACAGTAGCTGACACTAAGGCGAAGCTGCCGAAACGTCCGCTACTGTTGTTTTGTATGGGTTTTCGTACGATGGACTTACTTCTTTCAAACATCTACTAAAAACAAAAATGTGGAAGGAAAAGGACATCGTTCATTACTTCGCTAAAATTTTGATAATCACAGACGAGGTTCCATGTGCCATCCCACACTAGTTCACTGCCCCATCTTGGCTGGTGGCTATATTTAGTGGTGGCCTGGCTATATTTAGTGGGAGGTTATCTCCTAACTGGAAGGTAATCAACGCTTCAGACCAGTTTGAAATTTCCGTCAGAGGCCAAACTAAAGTGTAAACGTAGTCCACAGCAGAAGCCGATGAACTATCTCTGTTCAACATAAAAGCGTAAAGGTGTCGACGTTGATCAATCCCTGAGGGAGGTGCAATACATTCGACTTCACCATATTGTAAGAGGTGACTGAACGCATATCTGGCCCATACAATAAATCGAGGTAGCCTACCGATGTATCGAGTCAGTGTTGCTATTCTTCCAAATAAGTCTAGTACCAGTTAGCCGTCCCGGAAAAATGGAGAGCTTGGTGAGCCTGGGGCGCGGGATCGACCCCATGTGTACTATAGGCCGCCTCTAACCACTGCGCTATACGTGCACTTGACTAACTTAGTCTTCTAGGAAAGTGGAAATAAAGGAGTTCGGACAAAAAACTCATGCTCTTCCTGTCCTTCGAATAAGCGTACCCCACTGCAAGTAGAAATTATAACGCTGGCCCACTCAAGTTGCTCGGTGACAAACGAGATTATAGATAACATAGATAAATTTCACTAAAGTTGATTTGAGGAAAAAGTTTGCCCATCTTATTTAAATGAGAGCTAAATTAAAGCGTATTATAACTTGTATAAAATGCTGAGATATTTGCAAACTCAGGACCACAGGTGTATGCAGTGGAGAACGAACACGCGCTGTTGTCCTTATCGGGGAGCAGTGCACTTCACCACCACACCATCCGGGTCCTTCATCTTGCCTCTCTCTCAGCTAGTTCTACCGATCTTTTGCAAATATCTCAGCATTTCATACGAGATATATTTCGCAACATACTCTGCCATTAAGAAGAAAAAGGCAGTAAATAAAAGGGTTAAAGCGTATTATTTAAAAAGTCTACATAACGATATGACAACAGGAATTTGTAGTCATCACCAAATCACACATTTAAGATAAAGCAAAACAGAAGATTTATTCCAAAAGTACTGCTCCAATTGTTTATTTTTACTGATTCAAATGACGAATTCACTTATCGTGGGAATCCCAACACTTTTTCGGCCAGTTCTTTGTACCGCATCCGTCATCCACGAAAACCTTCGGATTTGCGTATGGGTTCGGTTACCATTTTGGAAAACTGCCTTCTTCATAAATGTCAACAAATGCTGGTCGAGTTCATTCAGAATGGAATCCACTACAGAGATCCCATATCGTCACCACAAAAGCACTCGTAGGCTATTTTGGATTACAAGAAGCTCTCCACGAACAAACTTCGCAGCAATTTACCGATCCCGGAAGGATAGTGGGGTTGGCTGGCATACGACTGGGCCCAACCAGCGCTGAGGGTGGGGCTCCTGGAATTCCGAGTTACTATCGATGATCCTAGCCGTCATGGTAAACTCAATGAGCCGCTCACGCTGTTCGTTCCATTCTAATCCGTCGGTCTCAATGTGACGTTCTTCAGACGTTCTTCTTGGTCCAGTCTTGGCTTTGAAATCATCCAATGATGACCTTGAAGAATGCGTGGGTGGTCTTCTCTGTAGAACTTCTTCAAGACCATATAGCACGCTTCGGCTTCTTCTTCGTCATAGTTTGATGTCGGCGCGTAAACGACGAATATTGTCAAAGCCGGAATTGATCCACGTCTTTTTAATCGTAAACGTCCGATTCGAGTTGTAAGTTGTACGAATGAATCGATGTTCATGGACAAACTCGTGCTGACGAAAACGTCGACGCCGCCAACTCCTCTACTGTCGCATGTTCCGAGAAACAGTTCTTCTCCGGTGTCACAGACGGCGTTGAATGGGTGGCATCGTTTCGTCGAGCCAGGCCGATGTCGTAACTTATTCTTCTTGTTTGCATGAGCAAGTCCTCTATCGATGATCTGATGATGCAAGTGTACGTGCATTGTAGGTACAGATCGTCACCATAGTTCTTTGTAATCCAGGCAGCTACCATTGGTCCTGAGATTTTAGCGGCCTCTACGTACTCGTCTTACCCAACGCTGCGAAATTGGGGGGTCTTTCGAGGTCAGAGGAATGAGGCGCGTTTTTTTTTACTGTGTTTAGCACTTTTGGTGCCCACGTATATCTCGCTGGGCTCTGATCGTGAGGGCAGGGTATACTCACGGGTAGCTTACCCGGGCTCTCCCAGAGTGGACATGGAGCTTATTTGTTGGAGGTGACTCCTAACCGTCTGCCGTATACTTCCCTGTCACTTGATTGCAGGTTTTTGGCAGAATTGACTCGTAGAATACAATCCGCATAAGCGAGAACGCGCCCACACACGTATGCATGAATACACCAAGCAAACACAGAAAGTGTGTGCCAAATCAGCGCGGCAGAAACAGGTAGTCCATCGCCTGGATCCACTCGTGTTTCAGGGAAGTAAAAGCCGCTTTTGGTCCGCGATTAACCTCTATCCGCCACCTTTGAACGCGCCACGTAGCTTCGTGACTGACCGGCTCGATATCCCTCATATGAGGGAGATCCGTTCTTAGAGAATGAACGGGTATTAGAAATGCGCGAGTAGAATCAATATATACTGCAGAGATTCCCTAGGGCGATGTAACAAAGCAGTATTAATCATGGATTTGAAGCTGCGAAATACGCCAGTATCGAATAGACCAGAGGTATGCTTAAAATAAATTTGTTTTAACACCACTTTCAAGGAAAAATCTGCCCGCAGTTTTGTTCACAGCTGTCCTTTCTTAACTTTGCAAAAGAAAATTTGAAAAATGAGATGAGAATGACTGTCGTAAAACTGACTCATCTAAAAATGCATTTATTCCGTAGTTAATTATAATGAGTGCGTTGGTCTAAAGTACTAGCAATTTGAGAACCTGTCGAGGTAATGCAAACATTTCACAAATTTTTAGCCTTGTATAGGCCTCTTTTGAAGTGTCCTCAAACTCCATCAGAACTAGCTAGGAGAAACTACGGTTATTACCACGTTTTATCCTAACACCATACCGATCCTTGTTATAAAATGGAGGAAAACCACTGACACATTTGCGAAAAAGCTAGTTTTTCGGAGGATCACTTCGGGGATGCGATCATATACCTAGCTTGGTAGACATTACTGGGATAGAGATGGAATTTATATGGAAAATGATCCATGACCGCCTAGTACGTCTTTCCCAGTAAAAATCTTCTCACCATTTCGACGTGTATGACATTAGGCATTTACAGATCGTGGGACATACCAGTTTGCTAAAGACAGTAATCCTGCGTTTCGACCTGCCCCTTGGAAGAAGTGCAATGTCAGTTCGACTCAGCGTTTAATTCTGAATCAACCGTTTCCTAAGGACAATGATTGGAGGACTTTCATATAAAGTTGTACAAATCATGTTATCAATAAAGGGAACAGAAAATAGGATCTATTTTCCTCAGGAGCCACTTAAACCAAAAAAAATCTGAGCACAAATGAATCCTCATCGGCATTGTTCAACCTTTTGCAATACGGTATTAGAGCGAACCTTGCTCGAAGAAATAGTGAAAATGGGCTAATTTTCAATGACGACTTAAGGTAGCTTAACTAGTGCAGTTTTACTTTTTAATTAATGAGGTTCATATAGCTTCTGACGGGTGCTTATGAGAAAATGAGTAAAGAAAGCTAAAGGAAACAAGCCAGTTTTCAATGGTGATGTTTGTGTTAGGCTTCATAAAGTCTTCAATAAAAAGGATAAAGCCCTCGACGTCGATCAATACCTGAGGGATGCGCCATGCATTCGACTTCATTATGCTTCCGTTTGGAGGTGATTGAATGCATATCTGGCCTTTACAATGATTCGCGCTGGTCTACCGATGTGTAGAGTTAGTGTTAGTATCCTGCCAGACAAGTCTGGTACCTATTTACCGGCTCCGGAGGGATGGAAGGCTTGGTGGGCCATGGGCGCTGGGATCGATTCCACGTGTGTGTTGCAAGACGCCTCCGACTACTGCGCTACACGCGCTCAATACCAACCAAAAAAACAAACTCTAAAAAAATTTATTCTTTTGCACTGCGTACAAAATCGGAAAGTGTCTTTGTTAAACCAACATGATACTTATTTTCCATACATAACAGATGTTACCAGCTGGGCACCAGCAGCACCTTGCCGAGTCGACCATGCATGCCTAGGACAGTTTCTGGTTTTTAATACATTGATCACTAGCGTTGATTTCGCGGAGAAAAAAAAATCCGTGAACTCGTCCACGATTTAAACACAGCAAATAGTTGTTTACTCGATAATAAACGATAGACTTTCGGAACCTGAGGGCCTTTTGGAGTTTAGCACATTACAGTATTTATTCTTTCTTGATAAGCTTGCACGAGGTTGATAAATATATTTATTTTCGGCTAACGTTTTGACGTCTTCGTCTTCCTCTGAGCCGGTGATCCGAGTCGATGGTCCAGAAATACAAGTTGTTACCACCGGACATTGTCATTATATATCCACCATCAGCATCGTGTATAAAAGGGCAT